CGAGTCTTTCCTCCAGAGGAAAACTGTCCTACCAGTGTAGTTTTTGTACTGACCAAGAATGAGCAGCATTCAAATTATCAACAGGACTAATAGCAGGCCATGAACCAGGTATTAGAGAATCTTTTATTAAAGTATTCTGTAAATAGTTTTTTTGTAAATAGTTTGTTTTGATTTTTTGAGACTTTCACTTTACAGCCCAATGTGGCCTTAAACTAACTATGTAGCCCAGGCTAGCCTTAAACTCAAGGCAATATTCCTGCCTCACTCTCCCAAGTGCTGGATTACAGGTCTGCACCATCACGCCCGGCTTGTTTTGGTTTTTTGAGACAGGGCCTTGCTATGGTCAGCCCAGCCTTGAACTCACTACAGAGCCTCGGCTGGCCTCAAACTCATGGTGGTCCTCCTGGCTCAGCTGCACAAGCGCTGGGATTATAGGAACCTATCACCACACCTAGCTGTCAGCAAGTATTTTTAAATGAAGAAACGTTGTGCATCGCACTTGTAGAGCAAGATACTTCAGAACTCAGGTCTGTGAGTAACAAAGGCATTCTGGGTTCAGGCAGGCAACAGGCACTGTGGGGTGTAGGCTCTTGCAGAAGGTCTAGTCCACCTGAAGATGCTAAAATCACTGTGGCCCCAGATTTACTTCCCATATAACAAATGTGAGGAGAGTGGCGAAAAAATGGCAAAGTAGACCCTGGCAGCAAAATCCAGCCTCTCTAGGACCTCAAATCTAGAAACCCGGAAAACAAGGGGAAAAAAAGAAGCTGATCCCCAGGAATCAAGAACAAGCTGCCAGGAAAGCAAGAGAAAATGGAGAGCAATGCAAAGAAAAGAATGGAGCAGTTGGGAACACGCATCCTGGTTCCCTGGGAGGGGCTCTGGCCCCTGCAGGCACAGGGCAGCTCAGAGGGTCACCAGCCCATGGACAAGCAATGGGCCAGCTGTGCAAGCCCCGGGAAAAACTCTTGGATATTATAAACTGCAAAAATAGCGTGGGGTTTTACTCTGAAAGTAACTCTGTCCACATGGCAGGCTAGAATGGAAAACAAATCCGGTGCAGCACCAGTCTCAGGTCACAGTGCTCTCGGGAGCCTTTTGGGGAAGGGGTCATTTACAACTGAGCGACTACAGGAATCAGAAGCCAGAACAACTACAGCTCAGGGCTTCTGGGTCACTCTACCAGGGCCACAAGGACAGTCATAGAGAGGGTACAGGCTGGACACAGAGTCACTGAGAAGCTCTAGCTCAGAGCAGGAAGGACACAGGGGTTGCACCCTCTGTGGTGAGAAGCCAGGATGGTCAAGTGTGGTTTCAGCGGGGGCTGGGTGCTGGGATGAAGTCCAGGAAACAGCTTCACCCTGCCAGCCCCTGCCGCCTACAACCAGCACAGAGCTTAAAGGTCTGTTTGCCTCCCCGCATTTACCAACAGGAGCAGGGATACACCTATGCGTGGAAGACCGCCACAGCCTGGGGGGTCTGAACAGAGGGGGCTCTAGAGCAGGAGGAACATCTCACAAACTCACAGGCCATAAAGCTAAGTGGAGAGAGCTGTGATCGGGCGCACACATAGGAAGAAGGACACTGGGAGTGGCTGGAGTGAATATGGCCCTAGTGGGGTACTACTGACCAACCACGATAGCAGGACTCAGTACTCACACAAACACCTGAGTGTGGAGACAAAAGAGGTCATAATTGTGACTTATTGTTTTTCTCTCATATCTGGTGGATTTCAGTATTGCTGGGTGATGAGATAACTACACTGCACCTTCCTCTCCCCAAATTAAAGAGTTGGTTGGATCTTGGTGCTATAATGAGCCATTCCCAGAGCATATACCTAGAAAGCAAAGACTAACTAAAGAGATCACCATACTAGTAACAAAGTTTTTCCATTTTCAAGTTGTATTCAACCCTTAGAGCACCTGCACATGCGTGCGCGTGCACACACACACACACACACACACACACACAACAATACAGACATGAGAAAAAGAGACAGTAAAATTGCCTCCCAAAACTCCCAACTCCTCAAGGCTGATCTGTGGGGGCACTGGTGGGGAGAAAAATAAAAAGTCAAACACCTGAATTATATGAAGTAATAAAAGATGAAACAAAAGATAAAAGATCAGCAAGGTGCTTAGCAAACTTGGAGATGATATAACTACAGAACAAAGCAGCAAGTATCCCAGTCCAGAATTTCCAGTTGTATTACAAAAGCTACAATAAAAAGAACAGCATGGTACTAGCACAAAAACAGATATGAGGATCAGTTGGTCAGAACAGAGGATGCCAAAATTGATCTTTGACAAAGTACAAAAAGCATGCACTGGAGGAAAGACAGCATCTTTAGCAAATGATTCTGGGAAAATTTGTTACCAACATGCAGAAGACTGAATCCAGACTCCTATCTCTCACCATGTACAAAACTGAAAATCAAAGTGGATCACAAATCCAAAAATTAAAACAGAAACTGCTAAAGAATGAAATAGGTAAAACTCTCAAGGATACAGATGTAGGGAAGAACTTTCTGAACAGAACCTAAGTTATACAAGAAGTAACATCAAGAATCAACAAATGGGATCATATCAAATTGAAAAGCTTCTGCACAGCAGAAGAAAAAACCAACAGAGAAAATAAAATTCTATACAAGGGGAAACATTTTGCTGGCCACTCTTCAGACAGAGGACTAATATCTAGAATTAATTAAAAAACTAAAAAAAATAGACATGCCCCAAAAAGATCCAATAAATAATGGGCAACTGACATGAATAAATACTTCTCAGAAGTACAAGTGGCCAACAAATATTTGAAAAAATGCTCAACATCCCTGGCCATCAGAGAAATGCAGATTAGACAGCACTGAGATTCTGTTTTACTTAAGAATGAATGCCTGTCATCAAGAAATCAGTAATATTAAACAGTGGCAAAGCTGCAGGGAAAGAACCTAACATTGTTGGCTGGAATGTAAATCAGTACAACCACCATGGAAATCAGTATGGAGATTCCTCGAACAAGTAAAACGAGATGCTCTATTCGAGCCAGCTAGGCATCATCCTGAAAGAGTAGATATATCATATTATAGTGACATATGCACACCCACGCTAACAGCAGCACAACTCTTAATAGGGAAACCTGCAAAGTGGCCTATATGTCCATCAACAGATGAATGGATAACAAAAATGTAGTATTTTACAAAATGTAATACAACTTTGCCAGAATAAAATGGAGTCATCTGTAGGAAAATGGATATAACTTGACAAAATAACATTAAGTGAAATAAATCACACATAGGATTAAATGTGATTTCTCTTATATGAGAAACCCAAAGTATAAATAATTTAACGACCAAAATAAAAGATGAATAGATAATAGAAAGGTCTGTAGATCTTCTGCAAATGGGAAGCGGACCAAGACGTGGAGGGAAGGGAGAGAAAGGAGACCTAAAAGAATTAAGATGTGTCATGTACATGTACCACCTGCCCACAATGAATGGAAGGTTATGTACTGCAAATATGTGCCAATGAAAAATTTTAAAACATCTAAATATTAAGACAGAAACACAGGGCCAAGGACTTAGCTCAGTGACATAAGCACCTACTTGGCAAGTGCTAGGTTGTGAGTTTGATCTTCAGTACCAACAAAACAAAAGCAATAAAGAAAGATAAACAAAACAGAAACACTAAATCTACTGGAAGAGAAAACATACAAATCTTGAAGACAGACAACCCACAGAGTGGGAAAAAACTTGTAGCCAACAGTCCCTCAGACAAAGGACTTATATCTAGAAGATATAAAGAACTAAAAAAAATCAGGCCCCCTAAATTCAAAGACCCAGTCAAAAAAATGGATGTCTGAGATGAGTATGTACTTCTCAGACGAAAAAATACAAACAGCAAATAAATATATGAAAAAATGTTCAAAATCATTGGTGATTTGAGAGATGTAAATTAGAACAACACTGAGATTCCATATTACTCCAGAAAAAATGGCTATCAAGAAATCAATCAAAAACAAATTCTGGTGGGAATGTGGGGAAAAAGACATGTCTCCACTGTTGTTGGGGGTGTAGACAGGTACAACCACTGTGGAAATCAGCATGGGGATTCCTCAAAAAACTAGAAGTTTCATTCAACCCAGCTATACTTCTAGCTACATTGCTCAAATAATTAAAACATCATACCACAGCGATATATGTGTACCCATATTTGTAGAAAAATAATTTGTAATAGTTAAATCTTGGAAACAACCCAAATGCCTATTCATAGAGGAATGGATTGTTAAAAGGTGGTATTTTTAGACAATAGAGTACTACTCGGCAATAAAGATAAATACAAGACAGTTACACTGTTAGTTTCTCTTAGTTCACTGAAAAGAAACGTTTGTGCTAATATTGTTTCTTGCACTCTGAGAAACTATTCTGAGGATAACACTACCCAATGTATTAAGTATTGCTATTCTATTATTATTTTGAAGGTTTTTTTCACAAAAAAATAAAATGTCAAAACGACAAGGCTTTTAAATTCACAAGACATTCTCGTTACCTTTAAAGGCTGTTAAACCAACCTAGAGCTTAACTGTGGTTTCCTAACACCAGAGCTGCAGGATCTCAGAAAATACGCCCTCGCCCACAGGCACCCACGCAGGGTGCCCACCTCTCGAACACTGCCTCTGGGCTTTGTATGAGAAAGCTGTAAGTCCTTTTTCTCCAGAGGTAAAACTCATCCTACCAGTGGGGTCTGTTTACCGACCAAGAATCAACAGCACCCAGCTTAACAACAGAGCTAATAGGTTAGTTATCAGGAACCAGATATCCAAGAACCTCTTGTTACAGAAAGCTTCTGCACATGTTAGTGAAAGCACACTGTGCTTGTGGAGTGAAGGATTTTCGAGATCTGGCCTCCGACACCACAGTTCGAAGCCTGACACTGGCTTCTCTTGGGCCCTCCCTGCCCGCGGGACACAGCAGGAACTGTCAGGAAGACCCCTCTGCCTCAGCTTACCTTGGAGACCTATCCAAGTCACCTGCATGCCCAAGTCACCTCAATTTCACATCCAGACCTCTAGCGGGAAGGAAGTGCGTCTGAGGCATGTTTTTAGCTTTCCAGGAAGACACCATGAGCCGGTGAAGGGATGAGAGCCAACTCCCACATGCGCACTGCCGCTGTGGGTCGAGGCCCCGGACTGGGCCTCTGGGGCTGGGGGTCCCCAACTCTGCTCGGCTCCTACAGCACTGGATCTGAGGAGTCCTGGCTCGCTGGCGGCCGAGTTAGCATCCTGCAGACCTTGGGGCCCTGGAGACGCGCTCGGGCCTCCAGCGCCTTCCTGCGGAGAGGCTCGGCGCGCGGGGGGCGCGGATCCCCGAGCCGCTGGGCCCGCCCTCCTTGAAGGGAGAACCGTGCGCGTTGACCTCGCCCTGCACCGCCCGTCTCCAGGCCCGCTCGGCAGAGCAGATGCCCGGGTGTTTACGGAACAGAAAGATTTCACTCCTGGGGGCGGGAAACTGAGCTCCCGGGAGGCCGGGCGGCAGCAGCGCGGCCGGGGCCCGGAGTCCCAGCCCCTCGGGCGCAGACTCGCCCCGGGGAACGCCGGAGGCTTGGAGGAGGTGCAGGCGCGCACGGAAAGCCACCGCCCTCCGCGCTTAACTGGAAACACGGACCCGCGCTACGCGCACCCCCTTGCGGACACAAATTCCCGCCGCGCGAGCCACTACGTACACGCAGCGCGCGCACAGCACCCACGCGTGCGCACACGCCGCCCGCCTCGCGGGTGCCGCCTCCAGGACCGGGCGGGGGCGAAGGGGTCCGCGGGCCTGCCACTCACCAGGGCGCCAGCGCGCAGACCTCGTGGAGCCTGAGGCCCCCGTCCCCACACCCGGGGGCCGGCCGCGTGGACGCGGGGCGGGCAGCGTGGCGCCCGGGTCGGGTGGGCTCGGGTGGAGTGAGTCGGGTGCACTGGGGTTACCGCGGTGCCCAGCGCGCCCGGATCGTCGTGGAGAGGGGGCCCGGGTCCCCAGGCTGCCGGGTCCCAGCCCGTCTCTGTCCCTATCTTCCCACGGGTGCTGCCCACGCAGGTCCTGTTCCGGTGACGGATGGCGCGACAGTCTTGGCGCAGCTTTTCTGCCTTCTCTTAGCACGTGCCCTTCTGCGCACAGCTTTGGATTGTAACCCCCCCGGCGGCGGGCGGAGGGATTCCTTTCCAGAGCTGTCACTCCCGTGTTGGTGGCTTCCTCCGCCTCCAGCGTGGGAGAGTGTGATGTGTCGTGTGCGGGTGTGGGCGCGCGCCCCTTACCTGAGTCACTCCTTGAAGCAGGCCCGTATTGCTCCTGAGCAGCCCGGGTTCTGTCCCCACCTGCCCCGGCCTGAAGCTCTGAAATAAATGCTTTCCTAACCGACGCTTCCTTCCACTGGGAAGCCTGCAGAAACTTGTAGTCATAACCAGCTTCCCCTTATCACAGCATTAAAATAGTCTTCCTTTTCCTTCGGTCATAGGATACTAATGGACAGCACCTGACTTGATGTGAGTTTGGAAACCATTTGGGGACTAGTTGTCACTTTATTTTACATTGCTTGTACTGTTTACCGAGCTCTCCGCTTAGCTCTGCAGACTGACTGGACATCTGTGACTGTGAAACTTATTTTGTAGAATTCGTTGCATGTTTCTTTGTATTCATTCGTATCTAGCTGTATATCTCAATGTACCTTATTCTACTCACAGAATAAAGTATTTTATGATATTCTTACGGTTTCAGTAATGCATTTAGGTAAGACATTACAGCGTTTTGACCATGAGGCACCCAAACAAACCCAAGCTGCCTAATTTCATCGACAGGAAACAAATCCAGGATAAGTTGGGGGCCGGGTCAAGGTCCCACACCGAGACATCCACCATCTGTCGAGTCACTCAGTGCCTGGCCCAGAACCCGGAGCACATCTTCCCATCGATGGGCTCCTCAGCAGCACTCATAAAGTATCCTTGGCTCTGAATTTTAATTCATGTTTGCCTACTGCCGAATGTTCTTTCTCCTATACTAAACGTTACCCTGTCATGATCCATTTCAAAATCCTTGTGAAGGAAGGCTCTAGATGAAAAAGCCCAGAAGGATCTGCTTATTAATTGAGTAGCTAAATGGGCACCACACCGTTTGGTTTCATGAGGAGGCAAAAAATAAGTAGCAAGCATAAAACCCTGAAACTAAAATTGAAAACCTTTTAACATAGATTTATCCATACATTTAAGCTGTTTCTTGAAATTCTGTTTCCTGTTAGGTGAGTTCTTATTTCTAAATTTGGTGTCCTCTTTTCTATTACCCTGGAGTTTGGTAACACAAATCTGTATGTAATTCGAAAACAGACAAAAAAAATCTTCAAACTAGCCACACTGGCACTTGGATAATTATATATTTCTTAGGCCCATGCTAAATATAATTGCTCAACGAATATGAGTTAGCGGAAGAAAACTGAACTTAATATGTGATACACTATCCATTATGTATAAATACATTCTTTTAAATAACATCAAAAATAGTTCTGAATCTAAACTCCTTTCACTGTGATTGAAGCCAAACTCCTTCCTACCTTTGGTGTTCATTTATGATGGTATAAAAATTTAAATTAGGCCCACATACAGTATAGGATGGTACAGAATTGCATAGAGACGTTTAGTAGTTGGGAACTAGAAGAAAACAAATTAATATTTTCCTTTTTTCATAATCTCATTTTAATTCCATATGCTGTCATAGACTGTTTCCACCCCAAATTTGCGTGTTGAGACCCTCACCTCCTGCGTGGTGGCCTTAGGATGTGGGACCTAGGGGAAGGTCATGAAGCCAGAGGCAGGGCCCTCCTGATCAGGTCCAATGTCCTCACTGACATGCGAGCGCTTCTGTCACTTCTCTTGCTGCAGGAGCCACAGGGGGTGACCGTCGCACACCCGGAATCTCACCACACGTGGACTCGCCTGGAGTGATCCTGGGTTCCCAGCCTCCAGACTGTCTTAAGCCATGCAGCTCTTTGCAATTTTTACAGCAGCCTGAACTAAGAAGTCAGATGCTTATGGATTGAAGTTTACTTTTAAAAACAACTCTGCAACAATTTTAATATTTTTTATTTGATTTACTTAGCATGAGTTCTGGACAGATTCCAAAGAAATGAATGTATTTATAAAGACTCAGATTCTGAGCAGTCACTAAGAGGGCTTGTTTCCAATGGTGTCATTTGCAGGAGCGAGAATGTTGTGGGTTTTCTTTATAACCAGGTGCACGGTGGCTAGAAGGAAGAGCCTGCCTTCCAGAAGTGGTGCCCTGCGGTCACAGGCTCCAGCCTCCGTCGATGACCATCGAGTGGCCAGTCACGTAGGCTGACTGCAGGGAAGGGCACAAGGAGACACAGTCAACCAGGTGGGAACCAAGCTGTGTGGCTCAGTCAGACTATGACTGGGATAGCCAGGCCACTGACTGTCATCCTAACAGGAAACCGCACTTAGACACTGAATTTGAGAGAATCCAAATTAAAGTTTGGAGGCCTTGTGATCTGAAGACAAATGGCCTCTGGCTGGTAGCTGGACACATGGCATATTGTAAACAGGCTCAGTTAGATTGCAGGTTTCAGAATCATAAAACTAGAGTGGGGATCTACAGCCATTCCCCAAACCAGGATAAAGTGTACTCCAAAATAGCACATTTTCACTTTCAGCTGAGTTTTAGGCCACTGTTCAACTCTTCATATCAATCACAAAACAACCATGTCCATGACCAAGTGCGTTTTAAAAACAGTGTGTAGTTAATTGATCAATATATGCAGGTCAATGCAGGAGCCACAGTGCATGGAGTGTGCTTTAAAATTTTACATAGCAATCATTCAGACCATCTCTGAAATAGTATTCTACACTAGGCTCAGACATCCAAATCTATCTAAAACTGCAGGATCATAAAAATAATCACTTGTTTATGCTCACAAAATGTTTCATTTTGCAAAGAACTAAAGGTGAAGCAATCCTTGCCGAAGAGAAGAAATATTTTAACTTAAAATGGATGATAAAGTCTCTAGTCTGAATTCTTAGCTTTAATTTGATCTTGAGTTTGAAACAATTGAAGGAGCAGAAGGAAAGATGTTACCAGACACTGCAAGAATCCAATGTATGACAACTGACCATATAAATTAGATAAACTAGGGATCGTCAGCATCTTACCAAAGAAATAACCCTAACTTCTCCAACTTCTTTAAAAAACCAAGCTCCCGGTATTTACATGAACACCTCTGGCCCCTCTAAGAAGCCACAAGTCCTTCTGTTGCCTATCTCAAGCCACACCTTTGCAGTTGGTTGGCAGTCGGAGGTCTACAGCTCACTGCCAGTACAAGTGGCTCTTCTGTGACTCAGAGCAAACACACAGGCTTGTGATTTACGTAGCAACCACCCCAGCCATTAACAACTGCTGCTCGAGGTTCTGAGTGGTGTAACTGCAGTCACTAAAACCTTCCCACTCTGGGATCTGTCGCATCTCCTGCCACGGTGTGTGCACTAAGTGCCAGAAAGAGGATTGGGACCTGCCCTTCACTGTGAAGGTATGGAAGGCGGGCTCTGGGGAGATAGATAGGGGGCCAGGCCTCCCCGCCCTCACTTCTCTCTCCCCATGACATGTCCTCCATTTAATTAATATTAAGTGACAGAAACCAGAAGAGGGTTTAACCTCGTAAAGTGGTTTTTGCTTTCTCAGTGTGTGTCCTCCAAAATCTACAAAGGCCATTATGGAGGAATCTGGTTCCTTGTCAGAGGCAGAGTGGAAGAGGTACAGTTAGTAATTTCCATATATGATGACAAACCAACAGAGGAAAAAATAGCCAGTGAGATCCTCCCGGCACATCACCAGGAAAACCACAACACTCACAGCGGTCTGCATGCTGAGCTCTGTGGAAGCTGTGTCACCCTTGAACCGTCCGTCTACCTGAAGCTCACACGGTCCATGGGAGTCCACTGTTTCACTACCATTTAGTCAGGATTTTGCATTTGTAATCTTGAATGCAACAGCCTTTCAAAAATCTAATGTTTCAACTTTTTTTTAACCCTTCCTTGCATTTGCTGTAAGGTGTTGAGATGTTGAGATGTCACCTCAGCCAGTGAGGAAGAGTCAGTGGCTCAGATCAACGTGCTCTTTCTCTGAAGCCTCCCTTGTATCTCGGTGGCTTAGCGCACCCCCTGCCATGGACTCTACAGTGGCATCATGCTGACTGAGGCCCCAGGACGGGAACTCCAGGTGGGAAAGCGCTCACCTCGTCAGAAGCCAGGTACACACAGAGCAGGGCCACTTCTTCCGCCGTTGCAAATCTCCCCGTTTTCTGTCTCTTCAGGAAATCCTTCAGGGCCTGTGGCAGAGACCGTTGCACACATTTGGGACAGGAATGCACGTCTGTGTTCCCCGTCCCACTCTCCAGGGGCTGGCTTGGCACGGACTCCACAGAGGGGCCTCTGGGCTGCTGCCTTGATGAGGCCCAGCCAGGGCTGCGGGGACTCTGCCACCCAAGCTCAGCATCTGTCATGTCCCCAAGCCATAGGTACTGTGACAGATCAGAGAGGTGATGCAAAGGGAGAAAGATTAAAAAACAAGGTCAAACCACACACAGCATGAAGTTCTCCACCTTAACCACTGCTGGTGTGTAGTTCAGTAGTGCTCAGCACAGCCGCACTGTCCTGCCACTGTCAACACGCCTGACCCAGGACTGTGTAAAGCTCTACACCCACGAGGCACTGCCTTTCCCTCCCTTCCTGGCCCCTGGCAATCACCATTCTACTTCCTGCCCTCCAGGTAAGAAGAGAACATTTTTTAACCAAAAGCTTAAAAATATTTGAAATGCTCACTATACCTCCTGAGGATCTTCTCTGGCTTGTATTCTTTCGTGTAGGGATGGGGTATCCACTGTTCCTAAACAAAGGGGGGCATTTAGTTTGGTTACTTATTAAATCAAGACATAACTGGTAGCTAAACTTTAAACTTCCTTTCTATAGGACACAGCGATCAGTGAAAGCCTGCTGACTGGAAAGGACAGTTTCACCTCTGCTTGCCCACCTCCTACACAAGGGATCAACTCAGGACCTTGTGTTTGCCAGGCAGATGCTGTGCCACAAGCTGTATCCCCAGCCTCTTCCTCCACTGGCTCAATAACTGCTTTAACAGCATGACTACAATGATTAAAAACAGACTACGATTCTTTGTGACCCTGAGACAGCGGCAAAGGGCCCGATGCTCCTCAGGAAATACTTTTTATTTTTCCTTCTGCCGCTGCCCAAATACCTTCCAGCTGGCCACAGCCACAGGAGCTGCTCTGAGCTGCTCCTGAAGGTGTCTGTTTCAGCCCAGCAGGCTTTGGGCATGGACGCAGCCCAGAGGGCTTACCCATCGCCCCTCAGGATGCTGATGCCCTCTGCAGTGCCCTTGGCCAGGTCTTTCAGGAGCCCTGCCCTGTGCCCAGACAGGAAGTTGGGCGATGCACGCACGAGCTCCCCTTCTCCCCGTGTCGGCAGCGTCTCCATGTCGTGGTGTGTCAGGCCACGGGACGTTTAGTCGCTTGCTTCCCTTTATGCTGTAGTGTAGCCCTTATAACGCCTCCTCTGCACGGCAAATTTTTGCCTGTTCTTGATTTCTATCTTGAGCAGAGAATGCTGGGATGGTACATTCAGAGCTGGTGACATCAGAAGCTCCTGGTGCTTACCAACTAGTAGTCAGGGCCACTGAAAGGGGCGAGAAGCCCGAGAATAACAGGCTGCAGTGGCAAATTGCCAGACAGTGCCTCCATGGCACCACCAGATTCCTCCAACGGTCAGCGGCTGCTTACCCTGCACAGCGGGACGGGCTGCTGACACTGCGGGTTAACAGCCGCTGCACTCACAGAGCCCACAGCTGTGAACAGTAAGAGTATACCTGGCCAATTTTTGCATTTTATGAAGGAAAAGGACCCTCTACTGGTTGGCGATGTCTCGGGAGCCCATACTGGGATTCTTCCCTTTAAAGTTCCCTGAAGGGGCAGCCAGACAACGGTGGTGGTCAGCAGCAAGGGAAAAGCATCTGTGACAGCCAGCCACGACATTATTCCATCACACATGCGGCCAAGATGATGTTAGCTGGTGACATCCCTAGGTGGGTGGGGTCCCTGAGGGGCACACATTTTAGTCACACTGCATTACATAACTTATGGGGATTTTTTTTTTGGTTTTATTTATTTATTTTGGTCTTTTTTTATTACTTTATTTATTAATATTAAGAAGAAAAGGTAAAACAAATTTTCACAACAAAATAATGAAAAAGTAACAACTGTCAATAAATTACACAACATTATCTTTAGTCACTCAAGTACAAAATATGGGCATAAAAATTACTTCAATCAATATTAGCACAACCTTTCCTATTCAGTGAACTAAGTGACACTAATGGTATAACTAACTTGCACTTTTTTTCTTTTCCCTTCTATCCTTTCTCTTTTCCCCTATCTTAGTTTCTTCTTTATATTGAACAGTTTCCTCCCATTTCACAGTGACTATTGTATATTTTGAACTTTATGGTTTCACATGTCACTGTGGTGTGATGTTTTTCAATCATTCTGGGAAGATACACAGAAGGGGAATACCTGGGTTGGATGGGACCTCTAATCCTAATTTTTTGAGGAATCTCCACACTGATTTCCACAGTGTTTGTACTAGTCTACTCTCTAACCAACAATTGTAAAGGGTTTCTTTTTCCCTACAGATCCAGGAGCATTTTTTATTGGTTGAAATATTTTTTTAAAAAAATTAAATGATTTTTTAATGAATAAGGGAGAGGATGAGATAAAAGGGGGCATAACAACATAACAATACAGGTTAAAGCATAACACTTTCAGCAACCTAGTGCTTCACCACCAAATACCCGACTTAATAGTAGTTACCATAGAGTCATTTTCTTTGAAATATTTGAATATAACTTCATATTCTACAGCATCAAATATATCAAGACTGTGTAACACCATTCAAGTGGATGAAAGCATTGTAGAGTATTTAGAACCAGCTAACAGAAAAAAAATGATCAATGGTTTCAATATTATCTCTTTGCCTATAGCAATTTTGTTTATACTACCACATATGATAAAGTCCAGCAAGTTACAACATAATAAAATCAATGAAGACAGAAGAACCATCGTTTGGTACGGCTTTAAGACAAGATGTTATTAAATCAGCACTAGCTGTTATTATGTCTTATTTTCTTCAAAGTGGCTGTTCATTGCATCACCAGCCATGATATCAAACAGCCCAGAATAAAGCCATTCCAAGTAATGAGTGAGAATTTTATAAGGCTTTAAGGCCATATAATGGGGAATCATGATTATCACGTACTTCTATATATTTGATTCATTTCCTATACTAGGGAAACTATTTGGAGTTCACAGATGCGAGTTTTATTTAGTTCACTTATGAGTATGATTTCAAGCTGCGCCCATTTATTGATAAATACCTCAATGTGATCCTTCTTTATAGCTGAGTAGTACTCCATTATGTAGAAGTACCACAGCTTTTTTTTTTTTTTTTGTCTTTTTCATTTTTATTGGTACCAGGGATCGAACTCACGACCGCCTGCTTGCAAGGCAGGTGCTTATGCCGCTGAGCTAAACCTCCAGCCCCTGTACCACAGCTTTTTTATCCATTCCTCGGTTGATGGACATTTGGGTTGTTTCCATGATCTAGCAATTACAAATTGCGCTGCTATAAACATAGGTGCACATATATCACTTTGGTATGATGCTTTCAGTTTTTCTGGGAAGATGCCTAGTAGTGGAATAGTGGGAACAAATGGGACTTCCAATCCCAGCTTTTTGAGAAATCTCCAGACTGACCTCCACAAAGGTTGTACCAATCTACACTCCCACCAACAGTGTAGGAGAGTTCCTTTTTCCCCACAGCCTCTCCAGCATTTGTTGTTGTTGGTTTTCTTGATCCTGGCCATTCTTTCAGGAGTGAGATGGTATCTCAGTGTGGTTTTAATTTGCATTTCCCTAATAACCAATGATGATGAACATTTTTTCGTGTATTTATTTGCCATTTGTATTTCTTACCTCTGAAAAGTGTGTATTCATCTCAGATGCCCATTTTTGGACTGGGTCTTTAAATTTTGGGGGTCTGATTTTTTTTAATTCTTTATATATTTTAGACAAAAGTCCTTTGTCTGAGGGGGAGTTCACTAAGATCTTTTCCCAGTTTGTGGGTTTTCTTTTCACTATGCTGGAGATTTTTTTTTACTTACAAAAACTTACTAATAAGAGGTAGTCCCAATTATTGATTCTGGGAAGTATTTCCCGTGCAATTTGAGTCCTGTTCATGAATTCTCTACCTACCCCTATGTCTTCAAGGTTTCTACCTAACTTGTCTTCTAATAGATTTAGTGTTTCTGTTTTAATATTCAGATCTTTAATCCATTTAGATTTTAATTTAGTACATGGTGATAGGCTTGGGTCAAGTTTTAGTTTTCGGCAAATGTAGAGCCAGTTTTTCGAACACCATTTATTAAAAAGACTGTTGTTCTTCCAGTGAACCTGCTTGGCTCCTTTATCGAAGATAAGGTGGTTGAGTGTGTTTGTAGTTGTGGTTGTATCTTCTAATCTATTCCATTGATCCTCTGCTCTGTTTTGATTCCAGTACCATGTTGATTTTACTACTGTTGCTTTGTAGTATAACTTCAAGTCAGGGATTGTGATGCCTCCTGCCTTGCTTTTGTTGTTTAGAATTGCCTTTGATATTCTAGGTCTCTTCTGGTTCCAGATGGACCTTAGGAGTGATTTCCCTAGATCTATAAGGTATGTTGATGGTATTTTTATTGGGATTGCATTGAATCTGTATAACAGTTTTGGGAGAATGGCCATTTTCACAATGTTTATTCTTCCTATCCATGAACATGGGATGTCTTTCCATTTTCGGAGATCATCTTCAATTTCTTCCTTCAGTGTATTTTGGTCTTTTTGAGATAGGGTCTTGCCTATGCAGTTTGGGCTGGCCTTGAACTCACTTTGTAGCCCAGGCTGGTATCAAACTTGTAACAATCCTCCTGCTTCAGCCTCCCAGGTGCTGGGATTACAGTACACCTGGCTCGATGTTTTAAGGATCTTAAGGATTTTAGTAGGTATCATCTGAACAAATCCTCAACAACCCTGAGACTGATAAAACCACATAAACCCTTTGCTGGTTCAAGATCCAGCTTGATGCAGTAATCTCAGAATCATTCTTGGTCATCCGGTTTACTGTGGGACTCACTGGGAACAATTCCAGAGCAGCTGCAGTCCCTGGGAATTTAGGTGACTCTATACTTTCCCCATCACTTTGCCTCTTTCATTGGTTTCAAATTCCAGTTTTTAATCATGGCTTTAAGTTTCAAATAAAAAGCAGAGTTTAAAATTATTTTTTATTAAGATAGGAAAGTCAGTATGACAGTAAGGATCTGAAGTTGTACTTGGTTCACATGTTCTGCAGCAGGTCCTGCAGACCTGTTCGTTGCTCATGACCTGGAATTCTCTGGAAGCGACTGCTTATTCAGACACAGCCTCCCTCGGCAGAGCCTTGGGATCTCTCTGAGGTGGCAACGCATGCATTCACACGTGCACCCTCAGCTCCTCCTCCAGGCCATGCTCCTGAGGACCCCTTGCAGTTGGGATCCAGTTTCCTAAGAACATTTTCTGCCTTCACCTTCCTGCAGGAATAGAGGTTGCCTTCTGTCCCACTCCCAGTATTTTCCTCTCTTCCCTTGTCAGCTACCTCCTTGGAATCCAAAATTTCATCAAGAGAGTGCACTTTAAGCGTGTAGGACACTCTCAGCACCCACACTGCGTTGGGCGCCTCCAGTGGCCGACAGGAGGAGCATCACCTCCTGCTTACAGCTGCCAAGAACCAAGGGCTCTACCCGGACAGCTGCCCTGTCACCATGGACCATGGTGTCACGGTGGACATCTGGGCCACATCCACCCACATTGTCCCAGATGCACTGTCCCACCTCAGGGCTGTTCTGCAGCTGGCACCATGAATCATAGCTAGTTCCTTGTTCCAGAGCTTGAGAACATCTTTTCCAGTCTCACGGAAAAGCCAGCTGTTCAAACAACCACATTTTCCATGTAATTCTGCCACTTATTCCACTGGGTAACTGACACCAAGAATAGCAAGACGCCAGCCACACCAGTGTGCAGGGAAGCTCATGGTGCCAATGCCCACGCCCTCCCCACGCCCTGGCTGCCCTGCCAGTTGGGAAGGCCTCGCAGGTGACATTCCTTTCAAACTTCCAAAACCAGCCAGGAACTCGGGGAAACCCCAATTCTGGCTACGTGCTATTTCTCTTCAGAGGACAGTAGGGTCCTCCTGTCAGGTAACCAGTACTCGTTGAGGATTGGTGGAACCAGGCGAAAGGATGTGTTCATCTGACTACACACCCTCAGGTGCTAAGACAGTGAGTCACCACAGATAACAGGGAAAGAAAAACTCCGCTACTTTCCTTCATGTGAGGGCTTGGCAGCTCCTAATAAAGAGATGGAGAGCAAACATGCTTGGCTCTGAGGGCCGTGATCTGCTGCACTGCTCAGCTCTGTCTCTGTAGCACACACAGCAGTCATACGCCCGCAGAGGTGGCACGTGCCCCATACAGTGCCCTTCCCTTAGGCACTGGGCAGACGTGGCCGGCCACAGTGTGCACACACAGACCCTTTCCATAGCATAAAGAAACTGAATGCGACCTTTTTGATGACCTGCCGCCTGGGGCTCGGCACCTCGGCAGGGCCTTTGTGCTGTAAGGCTCTGCTAGCTTTCTTCCTGCTGTCTGAGCAGGGTCCCCTTTCCTCCTTCCCTTCATCTTGAGCTGTCCCACAGGCTTGGGTAGATTAAACTCTTCCCCCTGTGGCTCATGCCACCCTCAATGGCTCCTGGGTTCATCCTGTGGGGACCCACCCTCTCCTGAACCCCAACGATGGAACACAACCCCACTGCTGTGGACGGTCTCACCTGGACACACGCAGTTGCACCTGATGCCCTGCTGGATGAAGTCTGCAGCCACTGACTTGGTGAGGCCGATCACCGCCGCCTTGGAGGCGCTGTACACACAGCGGTTCACCACACCTGGGTAGAGGGAGGGGACAGGACACGGTCCCATTGTGGAGTCCCCAGGGTCACTCGAGTGTTTCTTCTGGTACGCAGACTGCTCTCAGGATCTCCCTTACTAGGTCCACATCCAGGTGAACAGTGTCAGCACTGCACGGCTGAGTGAGCTTCGGTACTGACGCACACACGGGTCCCCTGAACTGCAGGGTCCACTCCCCCCACCAGACAGGAGCTCCCTTAGGGAGATCCCGGGAAAAAATAAGGGTGAACAAGCAACAAAGCAAAACAAAACCATGAAATGAAATGAAAACAAAGCCAAACCAGAACACCATCTCACGGCTCCCTGCTGTCTCTGCCCCCTTCAGATGGAGCAGAGTCACCTCCACAGCGATTTCCTCATGCCGGGCCGGGCTGTCAGGTCCTTTGTGTGGTTCCCTTCCCCCAGACTTCCCTCTCAGGGCCCAGATGAACTCTGAGAAGGCTTTGCAATCCTGCCCGAGACTGTGCTCATTCGGGGCTCCTGTGTGCCCCACTGTGCAGCCTCACCCCTTCTGGACCACTAATTACCTCCAGCCAGGGCATCAGTATGTGTGTGCTGCATCCTTGTGGGTTAATTAAATGGTAAGGGTTCCCTTCCCAGCTCTGTTCATATCCATCAGGAGGAATAAAAAGAAAGCCAAGAGACAGAATTTTGCTTAATTTCATGATTGCCTTGCCTCTACAGCAAGAGGACTGATGGTTACGGAACTAACACCAATTGTCCAAAAACTAGTTTTGAAATTGTAGATGGGTTTTATGATCCAGGTTGTGTTTACTCTTAAAGCACAGCTCACAGTGGCTGTGTGTGCGTGTGTGTGTACACGCAGGTGTATGTCTGTCTCAGAGGAGGTAGTTCCCACCTTTGATGCTGGAGGCCACTGAGGACATGTTGATAATGTTGCCAGACTTCTGAGCGAGCATCTGAAAACAAACACGACAAAGGACGTCCACTCGCCAGCGCCTTCTTAACACGCCCTCTTCCGAGCCCTCCCAGGTACTGTGCTCTGTGATCATCTGTCACCCTGTTGTCTTGTCCCGTTGGCGGCTAACACTGAGCAGTTTCACGTTGAATGCACCCTGCCCTCTGCCCCATTGTGGGGTGCTGACGGCATGCAGTATGCATCCTCGCCAGCCTTGTGATATGGTGTCACCATCTGGCTGTGGGACCAGGACACCAGGACGACCGGAAGGAATCCTGAGCTAACTGAAACACTGCTGTGAGGTCCCAATGCCAGGAAACTATTAGTGCATTGCACACATATTTATTGAGCATGTGCAAGGCATCGCGTGAGATCCACCAGATTCAAAGCTTCACAGCTCCTGGTCACCTAAGCCACCTAAGCATGGGAGGGTAAAACCTCCCTCCCATGGTTCACAGGGGCTTGGTTCTAGCCCGAAGCAGGGCTAATTCTGGGTTCCCCCAGAGAGAGGCTGGGGACAGCAGACCTGAAGGCCTGTACCCAGATACTGGGTTCAGAGGGCTTCACATTTTGGTTCTAACTGCATACTCATTGCGAGACCTTGGGCAGGTTCCCTACCTCTCCAAGTCATCTGTGTATCAGAGGATGTAATAAAGTAGGACTGCTCCTTACTGACCCCGTTAGGAAATATTCCTTCCAACCATGAGTTGGAGGTTAAGTGAGCTGTCACTAAAGGCCATGAATGCAGGCCAGCCATGCCGTCAGCTGCCAACACTTCCAGCACACACAGGTGCCTTCTGAGTGCCCAGGCGGAGACACTTGTGTGTTTACCATCATGGTGACCACCTCACCTTGGGCAGGAATGCCTTGGTCATCAGGAACATGCTGCGCACGTTGAGGTTCATCGAGAAGTCCCAGTCCGTCTCCTCGCAGTCCAGGATGGTTCCGTGGTGGACGAAACTGGCAGGTGATTAAATAGGGGGAGAAACTGCCATCAAGGGTGGGACACGGCTTGTGGCAGAGCACTTGCCTGGCACACTTGAGGCCCTCTGGGCACAACCTCCAACACTGCACCATCAAAGACAACACCAAGGAACTTCGAAAACAGCAACGAAACCCTCCCGAGAAAGATTCTCAGCCCACCTGCTGGACGTCTGTACTGTCCATTATTGACCAAGCCAGTGTCTCCTCCCTCAGCGAGATTTTGAACAATGCAGAGGGTGCACCACTGTGTGTTAGTACAAATCCCAGCAATGTTAGCTAAAACATCCTTCTTCTAGAGAGAGAGGCAAGGGTTTGGGGTCACCTAATGTGAGAAGCACTGTACCAGGTGCACTGGACATGCAAATGAAAACAGGACATAAATGAGAGGCCATGCATTCTTCTTTTTCTAGTTCAAGAGCAACAATACCTCCTTTTGGCATGGAGTGGAGCACAAAGCAGGAGCAGCAGCCCCCCAGCATCTCAGAGTTTCTGAGCAGCATTGCCAGGGTCACTTCTAACATGGTGGGTGCACAAGGTGGAACAGAACAAAGCCTGTCAGCAGTGCACACCTGTCACTGCTGGTTGGCGCCTCTGCACCCAGATTATGTAACGAACCCTGATCTCCACTTTCTGCAGGACTTCCAGTCCTCTGGCTGCTTCTATGTCCCCGCTCCACCTGCTTAGATGTCACACACACTCCACTGGGAATCAAACCCAGGGCCTGTGCTTGCCAGACAGCCACTGTGCCGCTGAGCTACCCCCCTCCTGGCCCCCCAGTCCTGGCTGTGGTTTTCACCATGTCCCTGGGCAGGTTCCTACATGAGGACAAGCAGAGCACCTGGAAAGTGGGTAATCAGAAACCTCTGCTTCCCGTGAGTGTCCATGTGCAGCCACATGGGCACGGCTTCGCCTGGGACCTGCTCTGGCTGCCCTGGGCCAAGCTTGGCGGCCTCTGCAGCTGTCCTGTGGGCTGAACTGTGTGAGGAAAACCTGCCCTAGATCCTGCCGGATTTCCCAAGGAATAGATCACAGTCCTCGGTGCATGACTTGGCTGTGCTATCAAATGATATTGATAAAAGTAACACGAAGGTTCTGATAGGAAAGTGAAATCAAGAGGCATAAATTACCCAGCCACATTACAGAGAACATCGACTCTTTCCACTTCCCTGGCGAACTGATCGATCTGCTTCTTCTTTGTCACATCCAGGACGCGGGTTTGAATACCTGCAGGGCAACAACAGGCTCTGCTACCCTCAGCTCAGGAAGGCTTCGTCTCGGCTGAGAGCTGTGGCTCAGTCCGCTGGGAGAACTGTCGATCACTACCGCGTTAGCCGTTATGTCTACTAAGACGTAAAGCCTTGTTAAAATGTAAAGATCTTACAGTCTCATCTTTTTTCCGGTCCTGGGGATTGAAGCTAGGACCTTTATACTGAGTGACATCTCTAGCGCTCTTGCCTTTCTGCTTTTATTTTGAGACAGGGTCTTGCTTGTTTATATATGATGGACTCAAATTTGGACTCCTCCTGCCTCAGCCTCACAGACTGTTGTGATTACTGGTTTGTCCACCACACCCAGCACTAAAATTCCACCTTGACAACTGCAATAACATACCTGTTTCTTCTCCTGCTTCTCTGTTGCAAAGTTGAGTTATGAGGGTCTTTCAAAGAGTAAGTTCACAGGGAGATACGACCAGCCATACCAGCTGGTTCTCTGCGGGAGCCTGGTGTGGGTGCTGTGTCCTGAGTCCTGCGGGAGTGGGGGATCAAGGGAGGGTACTGGCTGTGAAGCACAAGCTGGTTCTATGCATAAACTTTGCTTTTTGCTTTTTATGTCATTTATTTTTTTAGGAAAAATTCTCGGTCAACTTAAAGGCTGGCTGCAAGGGACCCAGCATCAGGTCTAGAAAGGCATCACATCCTCTAGCACAAGCAGCACTTAGTTAGGTCTTTTAAAAATGTAGAGGGCTGGGTGTGGTGACAGGAGGTGTAACCCGAGCATTCTGGGAGGCTGAGGCAGGAGGACCGCAAGATTGAGCAAGGCCTGGGCCACTTAATAAAACCAGGGATGCAGCTCAGAATGAGGGCCCCAGGTTCAAGCCCTAATACTGCAAATAAAATTAATACATATGGTTTACTTCAGGATTATCTTGGATATAGAAAGAAAAGACAAATAAAGCAAACAAGGCTGGAATTTGGATTTGGGAGGACTTCTCTGCGCTGCTCTGCTCGGGGCTGTGTGACTGTCCACCCCGCTGCCTTCTGGACTGTCCTATGCTCCCCAGTCTACCTCTCAGGGGTCCCTGCAGGATGCGGGCAGGGCCAGGCTGCCTCTGGGGAAGCTGCTTTCATATCTGGTTAGCAGCACCGGAGCAGAGAGCTGGGACCACAGTGCGCATGGGTCTGGACATTCCTGTGACACAGCCGCAATTCTGGTCGGGGTTCGATCTTGCAGGCCTATGATGGGTCGGTTCTGAAGACCCAGGCTCAGCACAGCGCTGCAGGAGACACCATGAACTGCGCACTCGCAATCAGCGAGGATTCCTGTCACGCACAGTCACGCACACACAGGGAAACACAGAGACACTCACGGCCACGCACATACACACAGACAGATTCAGTGACACACTGGACTCCATGCAGTGTGAAACTCCGGTGGTGGCGATGGTTTGCGCTGTACTGCATGGCGTGTGTCACGCGTGACACTGGGCTGGGGAGGGCCCCCGCACAGGGCTCACCTGGCCTGGGAAGGCCCCAGGACCAGAAACAAAAACAAACAGGAAGAGAAAAACAGCATCTGCTTCCCAGGCCAGAGGCCCTGGCTTTACTTCCCAGTACACAAAAATACTGCACACACCTTGAGTACACAGCATTTTTATTAACTGTGCCTCCATAACTCAGCAAAAAGAAAATTAATGATTGAAGCTCATATAAAGTGGAAATACTGTTACAAAAGGTAAAATATTCCGTTAATAATTTTTAGTAGTGACACGTGGAGGTGATATTTTAAGAGTATTAGGTCACACAGATATGTTACTAAAGCTAATTTCCCCGTCTCTTTTTGCTTTTGAAGGTGCCTACTAGAATATCGGCAAACACTGGCAGGCGCATGGCACACTGCTATCTCAGGAGGAAGGGACACAGTGGAAAGTTGTTAGGACAGTCAACATGCAACTCATTTACACATGCAACTTTGTAGCCAGCAAGTAGATCTCTGAAGGTACTGGACAAACAAAACCTGTGAAGTCTGCCCTCCCAGCCATATGAGGGCGCAGCCTGTCAGTCGCTTCCCAGAAGAGACTGAGGTCAAAGGAGACTGTGATGTCCACTGCCGGCCGGAGCCTCTCTCCGCGCTGAGGGCGCGGCCCTGTGGGGGTGCCTGTAGACCTCGCCTCTTACTGTGCGGCCGTGCTTACCCGGGTACGCTTCCAGCTCCTGGAGTTTGGCCTCGTTGATATCCGTGGCTATGACTTTGGCGCCTTCTTTTGCAAAAGCCTGAGGACAAGGAGCACAAACACATTCTTTGTTTTCCAGGGTGAAAGTGCCCTCGCCCAGGCAAATCACTGGTCTTTCTTCTTTTGGCTTATTTTCATTGGTGTTATAAAATGGGTGGAATCTCAAACTATCCAGCCTCACTACCTATCCATTCATCAAAACAATGTAGCATGTATGCTAGTCATTTGACTTGGTCCTCAAACAAGGCAGTGTTTTTTACCAAAAAAAAAAAAAAAATCTACTATTTTTAACATTTCCCAAATACTGCTATTCTATTACCACAGCCTACATAGCATTGCTGAGCAGGTAACTAAACTCCAAATAAAGAGAAGTAGCGAAGTGTTGTGGTGCATGTCTATAATCCCAGTTTCTCAGGAGGACAAGAGGCAGGAGGTTTGCAAATTCCACGCAGCTTGACAGCAAGATCCTGTCTCAAAATGCAAAAGAAAAGAAAAGGGCTGGGGGTGTAGCTCGGGGGACAGAGCGCTTACTTAGCATGTGCAACGTCCTGGCTTCAACCTGCAGGACTGGAAACGAAATGAATAGAAAGAACAGGGGCTGGGGATTTAGCTCAGCGGCATAAGCACCTGCTTTGCAAGCAGGCGGTCGTGAGTTCGATCCCCAGTACCGATAAAAATTAAAAAAAAAAAAAAAAAGAAAGAACAGAGGAGAGATAGGAGAGGGAAAGGGTGGTTTTCTCCCCGTCCCGGGACAGCAGGTTCCACCTCCCATTCTGCAGTAGAGCACGCAGCTCAGCGGGGATGAGCAGGGGAGGACAAAGGTTGCCTGATGTTTGTGACTCTGGAGCCCTGATTCTGAAACAGTGACCTCGGAAGGCTGTGAACCCATGGGCCCCTACGGTGCTGTTACGGTGCAGAGAAACGCATTTCTTGGCGTCTGCAGTGGTTACCAGTGGGTCCCCTCATACGGGAGAGGTCCCCATTCCTTCCTCTAGGCCAGCAGTAACTCTAGACAACAGAAGTCCAAAAACTAATTCAGAAAAGACTGCGGTGCCATTCACACTCAGGAAACAATGGTACTTCACCAGCCTGCAGCCCCGGCTTCCTGCCCCAGCACTGGAAAAGCGGGGCAGAGTGAAATAGCCCCAGTGTTGGCACACAGGGCTCAGTCCTTCAAAGCCGGGAAAGACGCCACTCACCAGGGCTGCTGCTCGGCCGATGCCCTGGGCGGCCGCGGTCAGGACGATGACTTTGCCGTCGAGTCTGCCCATGGGAACCTACGGGTCAAGGAGAAGGTATGCACTGGTGGCTGTCGCTTCCATGAGGCCTCCTGCGTGGTCTGTGTCTAGACCACTGCTCCTCTGGCGCCTGGTGTACATCTCAAGCTGCAGCCCAGCCACAGGGGCGAGGGTGCCCAGGGGGACAGAGATCGTGGGGTCCCCACCCAGCGCTGCCAGCAGTGCCTGAGTTCCTTCTTAGGACTTGAGCTCCCTCTGCATGTCAGACTTTTGTTTGTTTCATCAAACACATGTGCTTTCTGGGTCCCTTGTGCAGAGTCCATGTTTGGCCTCAGAGATTCATGAACAAAAGAGCCTGGAATGAGGTCAGGCCTGGTGTCTCCACTCCATAGATGAGGAAGTGCCACCTGGAAGCCCACCAGGTCCACTCAACAGCACAGGCACAGCAGGACCTTAGCTTCCTGAACCCTCTGCTACAATCACTCCTCGGATGGAGGTCACCAGGCAAGGTATGAAAGGGCAGGCTGAGCAGCTGCCAGGGAATCTGGGCGCCTGAGCTGTGGGGCAGGAGCCATGGTGGGGGGTCACATGACCTTCCCCAGGCTCCTGCTCTGACCTCATCCCAAACCACAAAGTGGCTGGTCTGGCCTAACACATCTAAAGCCCAGGCGATGCAAAGGCAGGAGCAAAGGCCAGTCTTTCAAAGAGGCCTTCTTTTCTGCTCAAGAACAAAGTCCTCAGGAGTGTCCACTCAGATTTCATGGGCCTGATCCACATGCTTGGTCACCTATGGCACAGGAGGTCTGCAGGGTGGGGAAGAGGTCTCTTTGCCCTTAGGAGTGAGCAGGAGCAAAGTGAGCTGCACCGTGGGCTGCGGAGATGGCCAGAGAGGGTGCACAGCAGCTTCAGAGGCTGCCGGAGGGCTCAGGCGGCCAGGCCTTCTCTCAGCCACCCAGATTTCCTGCTGGGATGCATAGAAAGGAAGACCTCAGGCAGGCCCTTTAGGAAGGGGAGGCGTCCGGACCCTCGCCTCTCACGGAGGGGCCAGCGGTTTGGGAAGAAATCTTGGGTGTTGGAGCTGCATTCAGTGAGCAGTGTACTGAGGACACAGCCGGCCTGCGCTGTCACAGCTGGGCAGCAACCTGGGACTAAAGTGACTTCCTTGGGAAAACAATGTGAAGGTCTTCAGAAACGGTATGGGATCAGCACCTCTCAACAGCTCCTGGGTGAAAACCGAGAACATGGGCTGCTAACTGCTAACTCCTGGGACAAAAAGTGTCATTATCTGTTAGCAGCTGACACACAGAGAACATTTTAAAGAACTCATAAGCCTCAAAGTACAATGCTCATGACCTGCAGATATTATAAAACTTCTCCCTTGGCTACTCTGACACTGGAGCGAGAGCTTGGAACTGGATAAGGCTTGTTTACAACTTGTCCTGCTCTGCCAAGATTAAACCAGAAGGGCATGGAGCACAGCAGCCCTGTAAATCAAACCTCCCCCTGATCTGGAGCTCACCCTGAAACCTTGGGAAATCTTACCTTGGAGGAGGTGGACGAGTCCTCTGGGCGCAAACTAGAAATAAAGTGGGAATCTTTGTGCTGAGCAAGTCAGGCAGTTGGCAATGCACACTGGGATTTGTAGTCCAGGATCCAAGTCTACATTACCGGTAGCGTGGTTCTTTAGCTTGTGAAAAAGAATCTTATTAGACGTTTGCTTTATGTGTGCGAACTGCCACCTGGTGGTAGAAACTGGAACCTCACTCCAAGGAGAAGGAAAGCTTGGGAAAAAAGTTTGCAGCTTGCTGCTCTCTTGATGTGCAAACCTCTTCTTCCTTTGTGCCTGCCAAGTGCTGCTCTGGGTGGTCAGGATTGGCTGGGGAAGGGAAGGAATCCAGGCCACTGAAGATTCAGACCCTCATGAGCCCTGAGCCTAGGCTGGCTGGGGTTCCACTGTGGCTCAGTCGCGGTGACTGTGTGTTCCAGTTCCAGCCCAGGTTGCTGGCAGGCTGCTGCATGCAGCTGGTCTGCACTGGGGAGGTGAAGCTGCAGGCCAGCTAGGAAGAGCATGCGGGGTGACAGCAAGAGCATGGAGCAAGGTCCCACCAGGTCCGGGTCTGGGGAGCCGTAGGGCGAAGCTGGCCACCCGCACTTCCTGTGCCAGGTGATGGGAATGGGGCAGTTTCAATGCTGCTACCTTGGGTTTTTTCAAGTTTATTTTGTTTACTTTTTATCAGCTCATGTTTGCAGGATATAACGATGGCATTCCTATTGGGAGATGCTGCACGGACATCACACACCTTAACTGTCCCCTCCCTGCCCTCCATTGCTTCCTTCCTCAGCACCCACACAACTCCTCACACCCCCATGTGGCTCATTTGTGGCTGTTGTGAGACCAGAGCAGAGCCTGAGAAGGGACAGGGCCCTGGGCTCTGGCCTTGGGTCAACTCCGTGGGACATAACTGCCTTTAACAAGCTTCTTTCGGGGCACTGGTTTTCATGGTTAGGGTTTGTTCTGTCAGTTGGAGGGAGGTGATTCTCAGCATGCAGGTGGAAAGATCTGGGTGGGCCCCGTGTCCCCACTCACTAAGGGAGCAAACTCTTTGCCCATCTCCAGACTTCTCGGGATTCCTACCTGTGGGTGGCATTGCCTCGGTGGGTGGGAGGAGGGAAGACCTGGAGAACTCCTCTTGTCAGACTTTGCCGAACGCCTGCTAAACACTTGTGGTGATGATGGTACTGACCACACCGCCAGAGTTGTTACAGTTGGTGCTGAGGATTGCGCCTCTCCATGTTGAAACCTCACTTATGTTTCTGCACGTGCCCAGCTCTTCCCTTGCTGAAGTTGTCCCTCCTTGTGCACCGTGGCTTCAGCATCTGGGCTCAGGTCCTGTATTCGCATCTGACCATGTGTGGCGCCAGCTCATTTTGCTGCTGCTGTGAGTGGGCCCAAGAGCACGGGAGGCTCCGCTCCCTGGGGCAGGTGAGCCGACAGACCCAGGGACGCTTGGGGTGTTGGGAACCCCATGGTGCATGGCCTGTAGACCCTCTGGGGTTTGGCTTGACGCCCCTGCTGACATTTGCAGAGAGCGCCCTTTGCCTGCTGCTGGGCCTTAGCAGAAACTGTTTCTCGTGAGCCACCTTTTCATGTGTGCTGTCCGTTGGAACTGGGTGACGGGTGACCCCCACAGTGCTCTGGGCTGGCACAGCAGAGCCCTGTAATTAGGTGGGAACAGCATTGTGACAGGTAGTCCTGATTGCCAACTCAGCAGGGTGTGGAGATCCTGAGGAAACTGGTAAAGCCCACTTCTGCGTGTCTGTGGCATCTCCTGAGATGACTGGCGTGCAGGCCAAAAGGCTGAGGGCAGGACCCACCTGACGTGGGTGACCCCTGCCTCTGCTCGGGCCCTTGTCTGTGCAGTGCATCTTTGGTTTCGGCACAGCTTCTCTGCCACGCCCTGCTACCTCCTTGCTCAGCTGACCCCTGCCCTGCAACCATGAGCCGAATAAATCTTTCCTCCTTTACAGCTGTGCCAGGGGTTTTCCCCAGCGATGGAGAAGCTATTAATACCCGTGTGTTTCTGTGTGCTTGGACTGGGGCTCACATCCAGACTTTGTGCGAATGCAACAAGAACTTGGCCACTGATACGGCCCCAACCCTTTTAAATTGTGAGACAGGGTCTCAAGCAGTGGCCCAGGCTGGCCTCCAACTTTTAATCAGACTTCTGAGTGGCTGGAGTGACAGTGGCTTCATCATACTTTCAACGGTCTTCAAGCATTTTCCTGTTCCAGTGAACTCCGCCACCACTTCCTGCTACTTTTTGCTCAGTGGAGGAGCAAACATCAGGAAGCACACATGCAGCTCAGCTCTGGTGTCTTTAGGATGAGGAAGAAATCAGATGTCTGAGGGCCAGGTCTGAAGAGAAAAGGATACACAGGATCCTTTCCGCTGCATCTGAGTGAATCCTATGGTAGCCTGCTCAGGAAATACCCGACCCACAGGCTTTAAAACTGCATCGTGGCATCCATAATCCTCCCTTTAAATAAAACTTATCACCAAAGAAGAGCCAAGGTTGCCTTGATGTCGCCTTGCCTTGGGATGATCCAGGGCACAGCTGTTTCAATTGGTGTTCTAGTCACGTAACTCAGAGCAATATGCTGGCACTCAGGTCCTCACCGTCCATTGCTTTCCAGAGGCCTAAGGAAAGCCACAGAGACATGTACTGGACAGATACGGCTGCATCATCAACCAGCAAGCTGAAGCTTGCATATTGAGTACCACACCAGTGATAAGTACAGGGACAAAATTTTGATGTACCCATGTGTTTTCACACACTCCAGTACCAAGATGTGACTGTGTCAGGTCCCTCTGAGATCTGTAGCTGTTAAACCATCCAAGGGCTGCAGACTCCTCTGAGAATATATGCTGCTGCCCAGGTCCTAGCAGCCTGGAAGCACTGACCCTCGCACCAGAGCATCGAGGTAGTCTGTGCATGCAGGAAGCCCCTCCGCGTGTGCTTGCCTGTCAGAGCTAGGTCAGAAGACTTCAGCAGGACTCTGGTCCTACTTCCAATCTGATGTGGTGGGAGGGAAGCGTCTGTGAGCTACTTCCAAACAGGAGTGCTGTGTGCAGGGTGCAGAGCTGGACAGAACCCGACCTGCTCCAGGGTGAGGGGTTGACAAGAAAGCAGGGTTAAAACCCAAGACGTCCGGACTGGACGCGAGAGGACACAGCCCCTGCCACCCTGGGAATGGACATCCAGCAGGTGAGCTGAGCATTGCACAGCGACCTCCTGACCATGAGAGAAGAGGACGAGGTCCACCAAGAAACCATTCAGGAACTATGATTCAGAAGTCCACGTTTAATTGGTGTGCAAGCGCTTTAAAAGTTGATAATGTTGTTCATCCCAAGTCACACCTGAGTAACAAAGCTGTGGACAATTTGTGCCCATGCTGACAGCCAGATGTTTCCTTCAGTGTCTTCATTCTGTACAACACTAAGTAAGTCAGCATCTATAAAGTGTCCTGCGTGAGAAAGTCTTGCTGCTCAGTTACTCCTGCTCCTTCATCTTCCAGTGGCAGCAGCCGGTGAAAGTGGACCGGAGCTTGTGCGGCCCTCGGACATCACAGTGAGGAGGACACAGCAGGACGCGAGCCCCCAACCTAGGCAGCCCGGCATGCAGGCCGCGGGCTCTGCTGCATCCTGCATTGGGGTGCTCCCTCAGGGAGGTGCTGGCGGTAACCTGGGGTCCGCCTTCTCCGTGTCTGACGCTTGCTCCTCTGAGAAAGCAAAGAAAAACCGAAAGGAGAGCTGTGAAGGCCTGTGGGGAGGCGGGGATGTCAAAGGACAGCCAGGGCCCCCATTCCACCCCTCAGAGGCACACTGGTCCTGGGGAGGCCCGCCCCACCTATCTGCCCGCAGCCTCTCAGGCTCTGACTGGGTGATCACCCCAGAAACCCTCCTCAGGGCAGACTCAGTCCCACCTGACCTGCAGCCTCTAGACCCCCAGAGCTCACTTCCTCCTGCACAGATGCTCTCTGCCTCACAGCAGGGTGTGCATCCCAGACCCAGCCTACATCTCCCAGGAACACGGCTCAGCCCGAGCTCACCCATGTGACAGGGACACGCCAGGGACCATCTGCACCACAGCACCCAGCCCTGACCCCTGGCTGCAGCTGCCAGCTTCGTGCTGCATCATGGACCTACCCGGGGACACAGTGGGGAGCGGCAAGCTTTGCTGTTGGCTGAGGAGGTGAGCAGGACCCCAGGACTGAGGCCCTGGCAATGGCTCACTGTGCACAGCAGGCTCAGGCGCACACCGTCCAGATGCCCTCACAGAGCAGTCTGTGCAGGGGGCAGGGGCCCTGAGTCCTGACTACGCTGTCTCCCTGGGGAAGTGCAGGACTGCAGGGGCAAAATCTCCCCATGTGGAGATTTCACATGGGAAAAGGTGGCTGCACCAGGTGCTTCATCCTGGAGAAGCGGGCTCTCCACGAGCTGGCAGCCGGCCAAGCACAGGGCAGGTGGCACAGCCACAAACTCCCAGCACAGCGTGGCCATGGTCCCAAAACTCAGAAGTCTCCAGGGTCACCTGGGTCCCAGGCAACCAGTCCCTCTTCTTACCTGGGCAAAGGCCTAGGCCCGAGTTGTCAAAGGAGTGAAGGGGATGAGGGGTTGCAAAGGACTTGGAGCGGGGGTCAAAAACCGAGACATGAGCGAGTCCTTCGGCTCAGGGTCCTGAGCGTTTTGCTCCTTGTGCAGAGCAAGGATGTCGTGCTGCTTCTGGGATCGGCCCCAGGCACCCGAGCAGGGGACTCAGCACAGGCTGGCAGGTGACTTCCCCGTGAGCCTCTCTTTGGAGGCTCCTCTCCCTCCAGGTGTGACCTCCTTGGAAAGTTGCTGGTAATCGCCTGAGTGAAAGGAAACAAAAATGGGACACTCAGACCACTCAGTCCCTGCAGCGCAGCCCAGGTGGGGAAAAGCGTGGTAAGAGGCACGCAGGATAAACTCTACCGTTTTATCACATTGACATTGCAATCTAATGTTCTTGCTTGTTATTGTTTGTTTTTACCGCAGCTTATAATTCCGGCTGGGCTAGGCTCTGAACCACTGATCCTCCTGTCTCAGCCTCCCGAGTGCTGGGACTGCAGGTGTGAGCCCCAGGCCTCGCCAGCCTAAAGCCTTCAGCGTCTATATAATTTGAAGAGCTGAACTAAAACTTTGTGATCACAGAATTTTGAACAAAATTCTGAAGTAAAATGACAGGTTTTCACAGGAGCCGGCAGCAGCCAGGTGGCCCCTGTGCGGTGAGAACTTGCTGGGCAGCCTTCCCTCTGGCTTGTCTCCCAGCCAGTCTCCGTGCTGCCCCTCCGGGCTTCTGGACCCCTTCTGATTTCCCTTTTTGATCTCTGCCTCCCTCCCAGCTGGGGTCCTCTCTCACATCCTTCTGAAGGTTCTGCCTGTGCGTGGAGGCCTCCTGGAGGCGCTGTGCCCCTGTGAGACTTTGTGCTGGCTCTCTTCTGCTGGCTCAGCAGCGCCCCGGCACCTGGGCCCCTGATATCACCTGGGAGAAGCAGCCGGACCTCCAGCTCTGCTCCCAAAGCCGCAGCCAGAGGTAGTGCTGTTGGCCCCTCCCACAGAAGCATGGCAGGCACGCCCACAGCCTGGACTCCGGGCATCTTCCTGATAAAGAGACACCAGGCCCAACACTCACCTCAGCCGCTCGCTCTTCTGCTGCACCAGCTGCTCGTTCTGCTGTGTCAGCCACGCCAGCTCCTTCTGCAGCTGCAGGAACTCCTACCCACTAGCAAATGCCAACCAAACCTAATAATCTTTCTGTAGTTCTGCCTTTCCCAAAATGTCACATACTGGGAAATGTATGGTATGTTGGGTTTGCAGATTGGCCTCTTTCACTTTAATGATATGCACTTAAGATTCTCCATACATGTTCATGCCTTGATAGCTTATTTCTCTTAAGTGCTGTGTAATAGTTCACCACGTGCATGTACCACAGGATATTTATCCATTCATTTTTTTTTGTACTGGTGATTGAACTCATGACCTCGTGCTTGCCAGGCAGGCACTTATGCCACTGAGTTAAATCCCCAGCTCTATCCATTCATCTATTTTAGCTTGAATAATGAATTTCCACATTGCGAGAATTTTGAAAAGTTATGGTAAGAGAGAACAACACAGCAGTAAATTATTTTTCAATTTTAACAGCTTTCTTGAAAAAATAACTTTTATTTATAAACTGACTGAAGTTACCTGAAGTGCTTAGATCATTTCATTGGATTTCTCAAGGCATTTATTTGATTCATTAACTTTGGCTTCAAGTTTCGCTATTAGGTCATGGGACAGTTCAAGTTCTTTCTGCATCTGTATAATCTTGTCTTCCTTATGCACAGCACTTTCTTTCGCTTCTCGAAGGGAAGTTTGTAGCTCCTGAATTTTCTGTTAGAGGAAGCACATGCAGGGCACAGGTGAAGTCAGAATCACAGTACGGAGCTGAGACAAAGACGGTCACCTTTAACGCGGTGCTGCATTTCAGAGGACAGAAAATTAAACCCTACAATCAGTCTACAGAAATACTCCCTCTTGGGAGATTTTTAGATTAAAAGTTGCGAAACTTTGACATAACCTGCTAGCAAATTCTTAAATGACACAGATGAAAAGAGCACAGGGTCACGTCATCCAGCGGTCAGCACAGCGCTAAGCGCAGACAGCGCTTACACCTCAGGGCAGCACTACTCATCAAACGTTTCACTTTCTCTAAAGAACCACGCAACGTATCTTTCCCTTTTCTTTCATTAATTAGTTTTGAAATTAAAAGACTCAAATGAGGAGACATTCTAAGGCACACAATGAAGTCTTTCACCTGAGCCCTGAAGGCCCCGAGTCGGGGAGTACTAAACCTTCCTATCGGGGAGCTCTTCCACACACCCAGAGTGTGCATCTGCCAGGGTGATTCTTGCGTTGGGGAGGATATCATTTCTCCTGCTTCTGTGAATTACTGCTTGGCAAGGGAGATTTCATCTTTGCCCTTCCTCATACGTATCAGCTGATGGAATTATACAATGACCTGAAAATCAAAGCACTGGACCTGTGATTTCCCAGTGTCTGCTGGTGATTAATGATTACACATGTGGTTGGCTTTATTATCACTTAATATTTGTTTTGGTAAAACCGATACGCTTTACCAGCAGTGGTGAACTTACATACAGGTGTCACAGCCAGCTGTTTTGTTATCACCCAAAGCTCTGAAAGGTTCACCATCCCTGAACTACAGCTTCCTCTCGGGTTCCCGCCTCAGCATTCTGTTTGCTGACACAATGGGGCAGCAGGCTGGTAATGTTTGCCAGCTCCTGTGGAAGGGAAGCTCATGATGTCATTGGATTATTCAAGTAACACAGGATCCTTCCACACAAGTCAATGAGCGCAACAGGCTTGCTATACTTTGTCTTTCGTGTTTTTTTTTGTGACTGCAATATAACCAATTGTTATGGTTTGTGTTTGGATACCCCCTAAAAGCCCCAGGCAGCATGGAGGTGGCTGAATCTAGAGTTCGTGATTGGTGCATTGTCTAGGGCTGGGATTGGCAGTGTAAGTGCTGCACCTGCCCTGGGGTGACACAGCTGCCACAGGCAGAGCTGTGTAGATGGGGAGCCCTGTGCACAGCTGGCTCCAGGCTGCCCCTTCCATGTCTCTGAAGCCTGAGGAGCAGAGGCCAGTGAGAGCCGGGCCCAGGGTCTCAAGGAGTAGGGCCCAGCAGGACTTGGCGTTTTCCTCTGGGCAAGAGGAGAGCTTGGGATCGCGTTGCTTAGTCCTGGAGCTAAGTGTGGGCCTGTGAGGTGACTGCCGCTCTTGACTGGACGGGTCCACCCCTGTCCTGGGGAGCTTGAGCTGACTGCCTGAGTCCACACCAAGTGCCACCAGGTGCCGCCCTGGCTCTCAGGAGAGGCTGTGGTGCTGCACTTGTGAAAGAAACCAAGGCAAGAGAGGGAGACTGGCGTGGCCAGCAATGGCATAGCTGGCACAGTGACAGAACAAGAATTTGATTCTGCCAGGTGTAATGTAGAAGTTGTACGTTCTTTCCAGTATAACTTCATTTCCTTCGGTTACAGTGTCTGTGTCGGTGCTGCAGATTATACATGCATACACGAGTGGTTCGTCTCTTTCACCTGATCCCCTAGAAAGTCATGACAGATACTGAATGGTCATGTGGTAGCTGAGCGAAAGGCTCGGTGACTTCCCGAGTCAGAAGGGTCCAGAGCCCTGGCTTTGGGAAGGTAGAGGCTCATCAGATCCTGAGCCTGTAGGTGCCTTTCTTGAGGCAGCCAAGAGGCAAAAAGCCTTGGTTCCTCATCACCTCTGCTACATCATGCTGCCTTTCACAACCTGTAGCCCGCATTGAGCCGTGAGCTCCAGAAGATGCTAGATCGAGTTCTCTCAGGTTTCCCTCCAGACTTGGCTGATCCTCATTCAGATCACGAAGGCTCAATGCAACAGCGTGATGACAGTGTTGTGGGGCTGGGACCTGACTCATGTGCTCTGAAAGTGCCGTTCCAGAGTGTGCTACACAAGGAACCTTAGCATCTGCCCCTTCCCAGGATCCGTGTGCTTTCTAACCCTGTGATGATACTTGCCATTTACTAGGCCATAGTCGATGAGGCATTGATATTTGACGAAAGAAGTGCTGCCAGGTGCACAGAGCTGGAGCAGTACCTGGACTCAGCGAGAGAGGAAAGCAGGGCGCTGCTCAGAGGCTGCCAGGTGCTGCCTGCCTCCCCAGGGTCCAGTGTCCAGAGCGACCCTGTTTCATGGGCTGACAAGAGTCCTTGTGTCCCCCCAGGAGCTGTGCAGCTGGCCACACAGGTACAGTGCATCCAGCCACATCCTTTAGCATTTAGCTTCGCTGTGGCATTGGAGCAAACGTATGCAGTAAGTGGTGTGTGTGTGAGACTGGCTGGGTTTTTACATGTAATTCTGCTGTCCGCCATTCACTGAAACTACTTCTAAAGTTAGGCTACACACAAGTCTTCCTTTAGTTTGTAAAACAAGTAAATTATAGCTGAATTTGAATCTAGATTCATATAATATGGGCTATTATTACCCTCTAGGTTTTGTAAGTATTCATTATAGAGTCCCTAAGTCACATGGTTTTCTATTAAAATGGAATCTGTATGGAACAGACAATAACTGGAAGAAAATTAGCAATTTAGCTTATCTGAATTTTGTGCCTTTATTATTGGTGTCTTGGTTACTTTTCTCTCATTGCTGAGAGAAAATCTGGTGTCCAAAATGAAGAAAGGCCCCCGGGCCTTCCGGGATGTGCGCTGCTGTCCCTGTGCTGGAGGCTTCTCAGCCCTGTGGTCCCCTTTTCTGTCTGCACATTGGCACACACATGTGCACACATGTCCCTCACATATGGCAATGCAGGGGGAAACAGTGCGTGGCCGCTGCCCCTGAAGAGATCCATGCCAGGTCCAGGAAGCCCCTGCCGGGTGCAGCTGGCCCACCTGGGGGACAGGACACTTACTCCTATCTGGAGGCCCTTTCCCCTCAGGTTGCCCGGGAGCCGCTGCACTGCTCCACACCACGACCGCCTTCCAGTGCTCATGGCTTCCCCTCAGGGCCAACGGCGCTGGGCAAAGAAACAGACAGGCTCAGCCCCCTCACGGAGAACGCCTGGGGTGCACGTGTGTCACATGCAGCAGTGCTTCCAATGCTGCACCTCAAGAGGTGACCTCATCATGGTAACTGCTACTGGGGGTGGACATGGAACTTGGTCTCCACGGCTGCAAATTTGGTTTCAGATCGATTTCTGCTTCCTGCTCTTCCCACTCTCGGCATTACAGTTATTCCCACCAGGTAAAAACACTAGCAAAACCACCTGCACTGCTCAGGACCCGAGCCTGGTGACACGGCCGTCCTGGCACTGGGCAATGGAAAACATCCGCTTCATAGCCTGCATTTCTCATTAACAAGTACAGAAGGAAAAACCCACTTTCTCCTCCTGGCGTCACCGATCCTCCTGCTACATGGAGGAATGCCTAAACCTTCAGTAACCACTTCTGGAATTAAATCTCTGTATCAGTTTAGTTAGGGCCCACATAAGGATGACTGTCAAGCAGTGTTTTGATGAGACTGTAAATGATACTCTTTTCTACTTGTTTTATTAAGTTACGGAAATAGTATTTTTTTAAAGACTGCATACAGTGGGGCTGGGGATTTAGCTCAGCGTCATAAGCTGACCCCCCTCCCGCCACGCGTCCCTGAATCGCTCCTTCTCCACGTTCTCCAGAGCCACATTCTGGGTTTCTATTTGCTTCTTGAACACTTCTGTTTGAAACATAGTTTCCTTGAGATTACTTTCCATCTGAAGAAGCTGATGCTTTTTCTTCTCAAGTTCTTGGGCCTTCAGAAAAGACAAAGAATAGTTTCAAAGCTGAACAGGCAAATCTTCACTGCCTTCTAGGCTCCTTACTACACAGAGCATCGGCTCCAGATTCCCAGCTCCTCAGAGGACGGCGCCAAAGGTACCTGCACTTTCAAGGCCGCGTGAGCGCTTTCAAGGCCGCGTGAGGTCCACACGCATGTTCGACATCTCAGCTGCCTTAGTCCAGCGATGGTTTCCTGATGCGCTTTCAGCTGCAGGTGAGCAATTCTTGCTTCCTCCTGTTTTTCCAGGTCCTTCATTAGAGAAAGAGGGACATTGCTACACTGAGGGTAATACAACTGCAGCAGCACGGAGAGGCTCAGGGGGATCCCCAAGGCCTTCCGCTCTTGGAGCTCCCAGGCTCCCTCCTGAGCTCCTGCTGCGGGCCACAGCTGCTTCACACTGCAGCCGACCCCTCCACGCGGGACGCTCCCGCTGCGCCACTGCAGTGCATCTTACTCTAGACCCGCTGCAAGGTAACCGTGACCCCGGTGTGCTCTCCTCATTACCCAGTGCCCGCCTGCCTAAGGGGCACTTCTGATTTTATGATTACTCCTTGCTCCAATGCATTTCCTCGGTATCTCTGCACCATTCTGGAAATGTGTCAGATTGCTTTAGGCAGACTGCGGGGGTCAATTGTACACTTCCAAATTCTGCAAATTCTCATCAACTTCAACATACACCTCCCTGTGAGCTCCTATTTCCAGCAAGGGGAGACCAGGTGTAACTACAGTGTCTTAATCTCAGCTACTTTCTCTCTCAGCAGGGCTACTTTGGAGCTTAGTTCATTTTAAAAGAATCAAAGAACAATGAAACACAATTTCCTATTCCATTTGCATTTCCACAGGATTAAAAGGCAGTTTCAACTGACAGTCACATTCAAGGACTAATACTGAAAGCATAATCCTTATTTTCTGTCATCATCTTCAGTGTCAAACATGTTTCACAGTTCTCACTATCAATGGAGTCCGCAATGGGAATGCTCACCTTGAGGTCCTGGTTATAAACTTCTGCGTGCTTCACTAAATTCTTTAGGCTGGAGATTTCATGAGCCAGCTGCATCTGAAAGAGCATGTGAATAGACACCAGAGGAAAGCTGATAGGTAATAAAGCAAAAGCTTCAGATTCACCCGACACAGGTAGAGGGGTGAGGCCACGTGCTCAATGTATCACAGCGCAGAACCTAGAAGAAATGCAGGCCAGACCACAGAACCAGCAACAGGGGGAGAACCTCAGCATGACCCGATAATAATGATATAACCTGCTTTACTAGCAACGATGACAGCATTGGCAAATTGGTAATCAACTAGAGGAGCAAAGTGCCCATCAAAATTGCAAGATACTTTTCGTAGGTTTTTGTTTTGCATAAGCACAGAAATAGATTCATCCAGAAGATTTTACTACTGTGGATTAAACAATGAGCTACATTTCTACCACACTGCCACCTTTTAATTGAGATAAACTCTCACTAAATTGACCTGGTTCAACTGGCACCTGATAGCCTCCTGCCTCAGTTTTCCAGCCTGCTAGGATTATAGGCATGTGCCGCCATACCTGTTTGTACACTGTCAGGTTTTTTAATGAGCTGGAATTTAGGTTTGGACAAGGGGTGTGTGATGTTTCATAGCTATCACTGGTCAGCCAAGCTACCAAGGTGTGGAATTATCAATTGCCTTGATTTATTCTCTAGACAATATTGGAAATACAGTCCTATTGCTGCTCTGCATTGTTCACCCACCTACAAGTATGAAGGTATAACTATTTCTATTCCTGTTTCCCTTCTCTCAAAGCATCTGTAGCAGTATGTTTTTGAGAGAATTTTGTGTTCAAAACAACTATAACTGACCAAGAAACATTTTCTTTAGCACTGTGAAAAGTTCACAGATGACAACTTAAAGAACAAAAGTAAAGTCTAACAGAATGTAAGGGATTTTAAAAAATGATATCTTGTCAAGTAATATTTTCTGCATTCTTAACTAGCTTGATTAGTTTTAGATTTCAAATTATTGCTAGCTTTGATACTGCAATGTTAGATCAGTGCTGAAAATAGAAATATATGAACATGTTGCTTAAAACTATTAGTTACAAAATCTAAACTGGCTTCTACTTGATTTTCGGCCCACTTTTAACTGTCGTGTAGGAAAAAAAAATCACATTTACCATGAAGAAACAAATAATCTTCACTTTATCAAATGCTTTTATTCTCACAAACAGAAAAGGATTAAGTCTGGTGCAGGTGAAAATGTAAGGTGCAAGTGCCATGCCGTTTACAGACGCAAAATGTGTGAGAAGCAACGTGACTTAAATGTGATCAGATCAGCACTTAATACACTGTGACACACATCAGACCACAAATTTCGGCAGAGGAAACCAAATATTAAACTTTATAACACCCAAACATTTCCAATTTATGAAAATTATAAAATTAAACAAAGTTACAAAATAGGTCTTTCTCTCACTGCTCAAGCGTTATGCTTTTGTACTTTTTTTTGATTGCTCTAATATTTACTATTTAATCATCCTCTGTTACTAAATTACCACTTGAAAATTATCTGTGAGTTTTCATAAATCCCTTAGGAAAATCAAGGAAATGATCTGGTCCCCAGGCCAGAAATAGGCTTTTTATTAAATTTGCTTCAAAAATGTCAGTGTTATCCTCCAATCTGGGCTTAATTCTGGCGCTTTCATCCAAGACACTGCGCGCTAAAACTGACACAGCTATATGCACTGAAGCCTCTCAGGGCCTCGCGCCGGAGAAGCAGCTCCACGGCAGCTCGAGCTCCTACACAGGAACACACACCCTTATTCTAGGGAGAGTTACACATCGCTTTGGGAGTCCCATAACGGCTGCAATTCTTGTTCTGCATGAACACGTGTTCAAAAATCCAGCAAAACAACTTCAGAGTGTCTGTGAAGGCTAAGATCTTCCACACGAAGTGTGGTTCCTGACATCTCAGGGCAATTTACAGGGCCTACAGTCTAATGGTTTCAGTCATTCATCAGTTTCTCTAGTGATTCTGACAATATTTCAACTACTTAGCAATAGGTACACTTGCTACAAAGAAGAAATTCACTCACATGGAGCACCCACACATCAGTCAACCAGATCTGTGTCAGCTTTTCTAGTCTCAGCAAGGAGTGGCTGTTTCCTCAGGGCACAGCCAGGAGACCCGCGAGCCCCCACCTGCGTGTATTCCATTCCTTTTTCTAGCAAGCTTGATGGGAGCCAACATGGCGCCACTGTTTAAACACAATGTCAGCTAAATATGGAGTTTCTTAAATTCTCTACCTATCTACACATATAAAAAGGGTGAATCTTTGTTATGTCAGTCTTAGAACTAAAACTCTTTCAGAGGATGGTATTTCTTTCTAATGCACAAATTAGTTTAACATCTCTATTTGTCTTACTCTTGATCTTTTTCAGTTTTTCTTTCTAGAGCCTCAAATTCATGCAAGTCATTTTTTCTTTTAGTTTTAACCTCATTTCTTCATTTTCTCTTACTTGTTCATAGTCTAATACCACATTATCATATTTAGCACAAACACAAAGTGAGTTCAACTCACTTTCTAAGTTTTCCTATTATAAACAAAAACAAATTTCCCAATCAGAAGGGATTCAAACCACATTGTCTACACTTTTTAAATCAGGTAGATAATACATGGACCTCTGAACCACTGGTGGTTTCTCACCTTGCATCTATCTGACACTCTCCATTCACTTAGAGAGAACAGAGGTTTTATTTTGAAAACAGAATAATAAAGATAATATAATAAGTCTGCTTCTGCCCTCAGTGAAAGTCCAAGTGAGAAGGTAAATGCTGGGAGCCCATTCCACCCCAAATCCCGCAGTGCCTCAGGATTAAAGCTGCTTATTAATGGCTCATGCATCGGAATACTCTTTCATTCTTTAGATGACTCCAATCAGGAGGCAAACATGCTGTCTGCCTCAATCTCTAATGATGCTAAGTTTTACCACAACACTATGGGATAGAGATCGAAAAAAACACCTTCAATTAGGAATTACAAAAAATGAAGATGACAAACTCCTAGAATATGTGTCAGGGACACAAAAGCACTTTCTTACATTAGCCAATGATAATAATTACCAGGAAGTACAATTGTATTCCCAGTTAAAATGATATTTTCTTTGACAGACACATGTACACTACAGTGTGACTTGTCTGGAACTGGAGCAGTCTGCAGAGCGACCCCAGAAGCTAACCTACAGCGGTGCTGGCCACGGCCTCCACTCTTGCTGGCTCCGAGGGCTCTGCTGTGAGCCCTCTGCACCTGCAGGCTCCTCAGGTGAGGATGCAACTAAGCTCAGCGGGAAGTGTGCTCAGCCCACAGTGGCCGTGTCAGTACTTAGATGGAGCCTTTCTTCTGGTCACTATTTTCAGGACAGTGCAGTGTAGTAACTACTGTGAGGCATTTCTACTGTCAGGGGTCACCAGTGTCCAAGAGATGGTTAAGCTCAGCACAGGCTGGGCAGGGTAATGTGCAAATGCGTCGTGCCTTTTAAGCAGGGACTAGGCGGCTACAGCCTAGGTGTCTGTGGGGGTCACAGAGCCCATGGCACAAGGGGACAGAGGGACAACCAATGCATTTACCTCTATTTCTCCTACCACCTGGCAACATTATCCCCCTGATGGATCACCCTTGTACTTCTGCCTGGAAAACTGATGCTTTTCAATTAATTTTTTCACTCCACAGGATTGCCCAGAACAAACCAGACAGATGCTAAGGTTTGCTGGTAAAGAACTAGAAGCAAACATTTTCCGGTTAGCACATGCCTACCTAATAAACATTTTAGCCTCCCTCTACATGTCTCCTACTTTTCAACTGCAAGTCAAAAAACGCGAGGGAAATCTTCCTAGAGCCCAAAATGCCTCTGATATGAGTCAGAGCTGCAGACAGGCTGCCACCACAAAAAACAACACAAGATCATATTCCGTAAAATACCTCATTTAGTAGCTATGTCACTGAATTCCACTCTATCTCCGTTAGTGTATCAGGAGTATTGCTGAAGGTATCAGACTCCAAACAGAAAGCTACAATTAGGGAACAAATGTGTATGTTAACATGTGTAACATTTCCTAAAAGTCAAATTAAACATTATTTTAAAAAGTGACAGAGTACTGCATAATAGTACTATCACATAATAGTACTAATCACATTAGTACGTGTGCCCTCAGTTTGGGAATGTCAAGGACTCACGTCAACAGAGCTGATCACATATAGTAGTGTGTGAACTAAGACAGCTGGTTGGGATTAGTGATGAAATATGGGCTCCTCATCACAGAGGTAAAAAGATCAAATTCTGAGTATGAAATTTGATCACTCTAAGTAGGTTTTAAAATGCCTCTAAAATAAGAGTATAATGCTTGAGGTATAATTTTCAAACAGTTTTTAACATAAATCCTATCTTTTAAAGACTGGAAGTTTCAGACAGATGTTACATCAGTGCTAGACTAATTTAAATGAATAATAATCAGAACAACAAACAAAAATATCTTTCACATCTATTTCCACTAGTGTATCATTGTTGAGATTTGGCATTCAGAGAACAATTCATGACAGTTGACCTTTTAAAAATTACTTATCTTTAAATCACAATTTCCATTGTAACTCTAAAACCCATTTTACTTCAACACGTGGATCATACTGAGTTATGCAGTCTGTCTCTACAGGGAAGCGTTTATCAGGTCCTGCAGAAAGGCACTCACTCTCGTCAACCTCCCCTAACAGTGTGACAGCATTCCAGGGTGTTTCCGTTGTCAGGTTGTCACGTTTGCTAGCATACTGACTCCCTCTCATAGTGGGAATTTTTAATTTTGTTAATGTTGCCAAAGCACCAAGTGACTCTTCATTTTCTTTTAGTCTGAAAAACAAAAGCAAAAGAAAACTAGTTACGAGGTTGAAAAACCACTGATTTTCTTTTGTATCTCAGAATGTCCTTCAGTTAGCAAGGTACTCTCACATTTTTCGGACCAGTGTGTGATACCATGATACATCCAATGAAGCAACTGTTCTCACTTCTGTTTACGGGATTAAAGCCAGGGCCTCCCCAGGCTGAGCAAGCACGCTGCCACCAAGATGTACCTTCAGCCCTTAAATTACAAGTTTTTCAGGACTTACCCCAGGGGTCCCTGCCAATGCACAACCCTTAAGGATCTCTGGGGTCGTGGCAGGGGCACTCACCTTGCTGCAAACCTGGGCACCTTGCTCTCGCTGGGCAGGGGCAGAGGTCACCAATGAGCGCCCCTTCGGGAGCCACTCTTTCTCAGGTCCCCCGATGCCGGTCTCCTCCCCTGAGCTTAGGAATCAAGGACCCCACCCTGCCCTGACCCTGCTGCCCTCTGTGGGGCTGTGCCCTCAGGAATCTGCCATCAGTCTTCCCTGCTGCTCCCTCCTCCCAGCTTCACACTCGAGTTTGGCTGCGTCTGCCTTTGAGCAGGACAAACTCCCGACTGCTCACCTGGCTCTAGCTACCACTTCCTTCCTGCTCTTCCTCGAGACCCTCCCACTCCTTCCTGGCCCGGTTCTCTCCTGTCTCTCACTCTGCACACAACCCTTTCCAGCCTGCCTAAATCCCCCTATTAAAGGCAAGAAGCATTCAGCTCACACCAGACCTAAGCCTGCCCTTTTGCTAGAAGGTTCCATCTTCTAATTTTACCTTTAATTCCTGATGTGATATGAGGGAAGATGAGGTCACCAGCATCTGTGTTAAGCTGTGAATTTTCTCATCCTGTACTTTTTGAAGCAAGTCTTTTTTATCCAAAAGCTGGGCCAACTGGTCTTTTTCCATTTCCTGGCCTGAGCCTTTATATTTAACTTCCACATGTAATATGGCAGGGTATTAATAATATATGCAGCTAGACTTTACATTTCCATGGGATTTAGAAGAATTTAATCTTTACGAGAATAACATATACTGAGACGCAGAACCCCCACATGCCATAGCCAAAATCAGTAATTTAAACACACTTCTTCTCATCACTGTCTTTGCCATTATGCAGACAATAATGGTTTTTTTTTTTTTTTGGATTACATATTGTCATCTTAGAAATATTTGTTCAAGTTACAAAATTAAAGCATATAAAGTGGACATTCAGACAGTGAGACTGCAAACAGTTCTGTTCAATGATCCAACAAAACTCAGTAATATCATTGTCTATCTTATACACTTAAATATACGTGCAGTTATATCATTTAGAGCACTTTCTTTTCCTCTCTTTTGTACAATGACTATTACACTTTTTGGGTTTTATTATTCCCATAGTTCTTATTACTTTTTTGGAAGAGAGTAAAACCAAATGTGGCATAACAGAACAGAGTCGGTCAAATCAAAAGGGTGGACATAATAGATAATGTAAAAACATAATACAAGGTGATCAACAATGGTTACCATAATGCCTCCCACTATCTCCAATAGAATTGCCTATATCATCAGTTATAATAAAATTGAACAAAATAGTAAAGAATGAAACCAACAAAACCAAAACATTGGAGACGTTACAGGTCTTCAAAAGTAGACAATAGTCAACCAGAATGGGCGTCATAATGAATCCCACTATCTTCACAGCTGTTGCCTAAACTTTCGAACCTGGTACTATCAAGCAAAACAGAATAGAGGAACATCAGTCAAAACAAGATGGTGAGAGTAATACAGGGCTTCAAATCAAGTTAATAGAAAATCAAAGTGGGTTACTATAATATATCCTGCTATTTTTAAATTTATTTTTCCCTTAACTAAAAGGATAAAAATAAAAAAGTAAATAATAAAATGGAGATTGAGATAAAAAAGGGCATAACAACAAAACAGTGCAGATCAAAACATAACCATTTAAGCAAAATAGTGTTTCACCACAAGATAATCCCGACATAAAAAGTAGCTACCATAATGTCTCTTTCCTTGAAATCTTTGAGTATAACTTCGTATACTGTAGCATCAAATATATCAAAACAATGTAAAACCATTCAAGAGAATGACAGTATTACAGGGTATTTAGAATCAACTAACAGAAAATGAACAATGGTTTCTGTATAATCTCCTTGTCTATAAAAGTTTTTGTTTATACTATCACATATAATAAAATCCAATAAGATACAACATGTTAAGACCTATGGAGACAGAAGAACAAAAGCTTGATGGGACTTCAAAACAAGATGATATTAAATCAGCATTATCTATTATGACGTCGTTTTCTCCAAAATAGCTGTTCCTATCATCCAATCTTCTCTGCCTCATTTCTGTTGAGCTCTTTTTCTGTCATTAGTTGTCAGTTTGTCTTCTTCATTTTGTTTTCTGCCCCATTCATTGTGGCCTCTCTGCCACTATTTCTGGATTCTTCGTATTTTTCTTCTTTAGAATATCCTGCAGTATTCTCTGTAGAGTTGAACTGGTGGTTGCATATTCCCCTAGTTCCTCTTTATCCTGGAAGCACCTTGTTTTTCCATCAATTTCCAGGGATAGTTGTGCAGGATATATCAATCTTGGCTGGAGGTTATTATCTTTCAAAGCTTGAATTATTTCCCCCCACGCTCTTCGTGATTTGGTTTGTGCCGAGAAGTCTGCTGTAATTCTGATGGGTATTTCCTTATAAGTGATCTGTTTCTTGTCTCTGATGGCTTTTAATATTGTCCTTATATTGGATTTCTGGTATTTTGATTATTATATGCCTGGGTGTAGCTCTGTTTGGGTTTGTAGGTGGCTGGGGTCCTGTATGTTTCATACATCTGAGTATCTTTACCTTTTGCTAAATTAGGAAAATTCTCTTGGATTATTTCTGCGAGTAGCTTTTGTAGTTCATTTGTTTGTGTCCCTACCTTTTCTTTATGTTCTTAATTCTTAAAGTTATAGATCCTCTTATCATCTTCTAGTCTTTGTATTATTGCTGTGTTTTTTGTTATTTTTAAGAAGTTTTTCATTTCATGCTTCCATATTACAAATCTGCCTTCCAGTTCAGATAATCTGTCCTTAGTTTCTTTCAAGCTGTTATGCCAGTTTTTGATAGAGTTTTTAATTTCCTAGTAATCTCTTTGAACCTACTTCATGTATTCTGTTTTCTCTATTTTCTCCATCAAACAATTCTGCCCTTTTTTTCTGTTCTTCCATTCCACCATCTGTTTTTTCTTGGGTGGTGCTTAGCATTTCTCTAACTATTCTGCTTATGTCTTGCTTCAGGTCATGAATAACTTCATTCCTGAACTCCTCTATGAGGCTCTGGAGATAGCGCTTTTTGTCTATTGGTGCATGTCTGCTACTGCCTGTTTCTCAGGATTGGGGGCCGAGGAGCCTTTCTTGTTGCTCCCTCTTCCCATATTCTTTGTTCCTTAAATACAAGCATATATAGGAGCCCCAGCTTCCTTCCCTGTCGGCTACAGTCTGTTTGAATTGTGCTGGCTAGGTGTTCCCGCCCACCGCAGCGCACCAGGGAGTTACAGACCGGGCAGCCTATGCGGGGCCCGCCCCTCCAGGTCAACCTACGGAAGGCTTCACCACTAGGGTGCACCTGCAGGCGCTGGGACCTGGGCTGTGCTAGCCTACTGGGTTTCAGCCAGCTGCATCACGTAGGCTAGGCAGTGCTCACCAATCCCGCTTGAGAGGGGGATATGTGACTGAAGTCACTACAGTGCCCTGTTCCGGCAAGTCTGCCTGGTCCCAGAATGTCCTTTCTTGGAGCCTCCCTAGACTGTGGAAGAGTCCCAGTTTCCCTCACTCACTGAAGGTTGATGCACGGCTCCCCGCCCATCCTGCTCTCCACTCTGTTCACCGATTCCCATTCTCAGAGCCTTCGTGTGTCTGTCTCCCTGCCGAGCCGATTCAGACGCAGCAGCAGTGGCAGAAAACCCAAATCGCGGCTTCCAATGGTATGGGCTCCAGCTTCCATGCTGAGGCTTTATCTGTTCCTGTTATAGCACCAGGATTGCATTCCCAGTTGGTTTCTCTCAGCCCAGTTCGTTCTTGGGTCAGCAGGGTATATCTCCTCTTGCTTAGGATTCCTCACTCTGCACCATTCCTGGATTCTAAGCTGGGTCTCTCCAAGAACCTTGGTAGCTGCTGCTATCTGTCCGCCATGTTCTCCTGGAAGTCCAATAATGTTGATAAGACAATTCTATTAGTAGTCTAAGGAACGTGAAGAAGGACCCAGAAGACAAGAGATCCAGAGTTGAACTACCACAGAGAAAGATAGAGATGATGTTGTCTCATGAGATTACTGGCTGATATTTTAGCTCACTTTTTAAAAGTACATGAAAATAGAAGATTTTTTACAAACTATGGGGCCGAGATGATAAATTTAAATTAATCAGAATGTCAGGACTATGCTGTATTAGATTACTGTCTTAGAGCCACAAAAGGAATTCAGGGATGTGAAGAAATGAAAAGTAGTTTTAAACTGCTACACAACATTTCCCTTTCTTAATTACCTCAATATGTACTTGTCAGATTAAAAAAACAAAAAGCTATTTCTACTTAGTTCATTTGGAGAAACATTTCAAATCACACCTTTGGAAATACAGAATAAAGTCAAAATAATTTGAAGATGTCAAATCTTTCAGTTCACATAGTAAACCTAAATTGTTATAAATTAAATTATTTCTTCATCATTACAACACATTTGTTTGAAAAGTCGCAGGAACTCAGACTTTCCTGAACTGAGAGTTCCTGGGCCCATCCCCATCACGCTAAATTAATCTCTATTGAAATGAAGCCCTCGGTTTCAAAAATGGTGGCTTGCTAGGGGATTGGGTGGAGAGCCTCTCCGGAGAAATCACATTAGATGCTAGAATATGACAACATGGAAAGAGGCAGATGAAAGGATAATGATTCTTTTTAAACAAGATAGCACGGCTGGAGGATTTAAGGTTGTGCTGAGACTGTGATGGCTGATAATGGGAGTCTGCAAATCCCGTGCCTTTAATGTGGCAAACTGACCAGTGGACCCAAGAGGAAAAGCTGTATTGGCTTTTGGTGACTGCTGGAAATTGAGATCTGGGACCCCATGAAGCAGCCAGGGCTGCCCGGCTGCACCAGAGATTGTTAGAAGCTCCAGAGTTCCAAAGCCGGGCACCATGCAGTTTTCTGACTGTTCCACGTTGTGTCAGGAATGCAGTGAAGGCAAGTGGCGTAGTGTGCAGGAGACTCAAGAGGAAGACCTGCACTGAGTCCTGGTGAGTACTGGGGACTGGGTCCTGCGGCTGCTGTGGCTGGCTGGAAGACATCTTGAAATTGGGCAGAGCTCACCACCACAGTGACATCAATAACACGGAGTCTGGTGGAAGACATCTTGGAGTTGGGCAGAGCACGCGGTTCAGTGACATCAGACAGTCGCCCCTGGCGTAGACAGGTCTGGTGGAGGACATCTTGAAAGTGGGCAGAGCCCGGCGTTGTATTGGCGTCAGCGACATAGAGAGAACTAGTGGAGGACATCTTGGAATTGGGCAGACCCGCAGCTGCGGGGACATTACATAGTTGCTCCTGGCACAGAGAGGTCTGGAAGAGGACAGCTGGGATTTGAGCAGAGCCCCGTGCCATGGTGACATTAGCCAGCTGCTTCTGGCACAGAGAGGACTAGCAGGACCTGCTGGGGCTGAACCAAGCCTCTGGTTGGGACCCAATAAGCAGATACAAAATAGTCATGTGACACCCACAAAGTACAGCCTAATTTGCAGATTGACTGGCACAGAGGCTGGAGGCTAGCCTGCACCGTCCCTGCATCCCTGCCTACCCCAGATAACAGCAAATTGGGAAGGACAGCAAAAAACTCAAGTCAACACACTTCTGAAAGGCCCTAAGCAATACAGAGAGGGCCACAGACCCCCAGAACACTCCAGTCTGAAAGAAACCAGAAACATGACAAAAGATAGAAATACAAAAAAAAATCTCCAGCTGCCCAACATGAGAAAATAAGTCCAGGAGAAGTAAACATTGAAGAGAACAAGCACAATAACCATGTAATACTGGACACAGCATCAGCGGAAATAAAAAAAATACCTCCATGACCTCATAGATGAATTTAAAGCAGTACTCCTGATCCAAGTGAGGCAAGATATAAAGAGATTAATTAAAGAAATGACAAGCCTCGCCCAAGAGAACACAGATGGAAGAACTGAGGAAATCAGAAAAGAAAGAGATACTTCTGAAGAAGAGTTTAAACATAACTTAGAATACATGAAACAGATCCAAAGGGATTATCAGGAAACTAAAAACTCCATTGAACACTGGCAAAATGCCTTGACAGAAACTAAAGTCAGCCTTTTGAAACTTGAAGAGAGATTTAACATATATGATTGTGAAAGAAAAGACCTCTTAAAAATAACAAGGAACCAGAAAGAAATAATTCAAAGGCTAGAAGATGACAAAAGGATACATAACTTAAGAATAAAGAATATGAGTGAGGAAGCAGGAGCAACCAAAAATGAAATACAAGGAATATTCACAGATATATTAAAGCAAAATTTGCCATGTACAGCAAAAAGAAATGATATCCAGATGAAAGAGGCATACAGAACACTAGCTACCTACAACCAAAACAGATCTACACCCAGACATATAATAATCAAGATTCCAGAAATCCATCAAAAGAACAGAATATTAAAAGCAGCCATTGAAAAAAAGCAGATTACCTACAACGGGAAAATTATCAAAATAACAACAGACTTAGCAACACAAACTCTTAAATCAAGAAGGGAATGGGGAGAAATATTCCAAGTCCTGAAAGAAAATAATACGCAACCAAGACTCATATACGCATAAAAATTCTCTCTCAAAATTAATGGAGAAATAAGATGCTTCATAAGACTGTGGTTTTTGCCTTGGCTGATTTTATTTGAATTTGATATGCTTAATAGTATCAACCCTAAAAGTAGAGGCAACTACTCTGAAGATGATATGATGTAAAAGATATCTATACCAGTATTAATTATTAACAGCTCTCAAGTCCTACAATGTCTTCAAAGTTGTGTTATTATAAAAATAACTAGGTAATACTATGTTCAACTATATTAAGCCCAATTATATGGACAAGATTATGGAAAATAACAAGAGAAAGCATAGTAACTACGGTAGATCACCTAATATTGTGGTCTTATGTGTCTTTTTCACTGCATGTTTTTCTAGGAATTTGTTTTGCTGTCTTGTTATGATTTGTTTTCCCCTATAATACAGAGAGGATAGATACATATGTAGAAATTCACGCATGAGAAGATTGTTTTAAAAAACCATTTACAGGAATAGATTATATAATGCAATATGTAATGAACAGATATTGTGAAGAAGAAGAGACACTAAGAAACCCAATGCTAATTTTGTAGCATTATGATATAAAATCTAGCAATACTATTATTCACTGATCAGAGTGATATTAGTCTAGTCTCTTAAGTTCAATTTCAGCATATGTAAAGATAAGGACAGCTACTACGAAGAGAATGAGAAATGCAATGGTAGTTATTATTGTCTTCCCCAATGTTAGATCTTGAAGACCTAAAAAGCCTTCACCATCTTGTAATAATTTGATTAGATCTATAATATGCAGTATGTATCTAATGTGCGTGAAGATGGGGACAACTATTTGGAAGAAATTAGAGACAATTAGATAGACAGTGAAGATCTCCAGTGGACTTGCTTTGAAATCTGTATTTCTTTAAATTGTTTTTTTTAAACTGTTTTGTTCTGTTTTGATATATTTAATCTTGCCCTCTTTAAGATATAAAACAAGTGTGTAGGACTGATAACAATATTACTAAGTTTTTGTTAGTTCATTGAGCGGATGACAATATGTAACTTTCTAAGATGACAATATGTAACTTATCAACTGGCGATTTCTTACCACTTATTTTTCTGTAATTCTGTATTATTTCTACCCTTTTTATCTCCATTTTTTTAATTTCTTTCTCTTTAAATTAAAAAAAAAAAAATGAAGCCTCTCACGCACCTCCTCGAGCTGCTTTCTCAGGTCCACTATTTCCTTTCTGTATCTTTTCAGGAGCGCTTCATCACTTGACACCTCATTAACATAAGGAGTGTTTTTCAGATATTTAGCAGTGCTACCAAACTGGGAAAAGCGCACAAAAGTACAACTGTTCAGTACTCAGAATTTCTAACGGTGAAGGGCTGGTAGGTTTCCTCTAACAAATTCTCTTTAAAGAAAACTAAATGAAACCAAATAATTCTGTTGACAGCGAGCTTTACAGATTTGAATTCAGGGAGCCTTCAAAGCTTTCTAATGATTCTCTGTAACTCAGCCTAGCACCTGGTCTTCAGGGAAGCTGAGGAAACCCCACGTGCTGCCCTGTGGAGCTGTCCCCCAGGGTGCCTGCCCTGCTCTGGGTCCACTGCCAGCTGGAAGCCCCTCCTCGCCTCTGCTCTGAACTCCATCTTGCTTCACCTCTGCTCCAAAAGAATCCAGAACATGGAAGGATGAGTCTCATCGCCATGGACCTGACTTTCCATCTTTGCAGCGTCCACAGCACCTCGACTCAGGGCTCAGCAGCTAAGCACTGCTTCCTCAGAATCTGAGCACCAGATCAAAGTGGCACACAAAAGTGATCATTAAGTCATGCTGCACCCTTCAGGGACAACCCTGTTCTACATGTTTTTAAAAAAGTAAACTGAAAAAGCATAACGTAGGCTCAGAATAAAGGTGGGGATCCATCAGGTAGCAGAAATTTCAGTATAAAATATACATCTTCTTTTGTTGTTTCCTATTTGTGGCAAGTCATACTACTTTTTGTTTCTGTGGATAATGTAAAGTTTGGTTTCATTTCAAATGAAGCACACAAAGTGAGCTGCGGTAAACAACATGGAGGTGGGACTCAAAGGACTGAAGTTGGGACACCTAGATTAAGGGTGATATTTGGTAGATAACGCATCAATTTTACGATACCAGGTGTGTCTATATAATCTTTTAAAACTATCTAATTTAAGTCCATCATCTTTTCTCCAGCAAGCTGCTCTTGCCCCATATTGGGCTGAGATAAAAATCAAACTCACCTGAAGAGTGGTCAGAGTTTCCCCAAAAGACGTCAGTGTAATGCTGCAGATGATACGAGTTTTTGCATTTCCTCCCAAGGAATTCTGGAGAATTGGAGTTAATTTGCTATCTCGATAATTGATGAAACCACTTAGCATGTAAAAAGATTGGAGAGAAAGAGATTTCAGAATTTTATGTAACAAACATGGCTGGTTCGTAGTGTACAACATTTAGTCAAGGATTAAAAACTACTTCTTTACAGATTATGTGGCAGAGCAAAGCAATGAAAATACTTAAAAATATCATATTCAACCAGTTATAGCCACATATACTAGAAGCTATGCTCAGAGAATCCCAAAGCTTTGCTGTTTTTGACAGAAAATACACGTGTTATTTTTAACCCAATGAAAACCCTCAACAATAGACTAATGGAATAAACTTACCCAGTTTATCACTTAGTTTCTTGATCACTTGTCCCCAAATAAGCTTTGATTTATATTACAGACTCCTTGAATTGCACACCTGATTAGAGTAGACCAATGTGAAAACCGACCGTCACTGCATGAGATGATACACAGCACCTTAGAGAGAAACGTGACATGACGGCTGCTATGGGAAAGTGTCATACCCGGCTGGACCTGAGCCCCGCTTTAGTGTAGGTGGTAGGAGCACCCTTCCTGTCCTCTTATGGGAAGCAGGAGGGTTTTCACCTGAGAGGCACTGCAGAGGGCGGGCGGGAGGGAAGGCTGTTTCCCTACAGAGCTCCTCCTCAGCTTAGATCCTCTTTTTCCCAAATCACTAACTACAGGCCCCCCAGACTTCCAACCTCACAGCGATGTGGATGACTGTCCTTCTGCCTTTCACTGCCTACTGGCACCTAGTGTCTAGACTGGGATCAAGCCATCCCTGCAGACAGGGCTAAGATGGCAGGAATGTGGACACGGGAAAACTCAGAACCTCAGCGCTGAGAGGACGCCTCCCACTACTTCCTTTGCTCCGGGACAGGAAAGCTTAGACTGCTTCTGTGCGACTCTCTGGGCTTCCCAGCTGCACAGTCCTACCAAGGGCACAATTTCAGGTCAACAGACGCTAGAACAGCCCCAGGGCAATGAGATGCCGATGCTGGTGTTTATGTCAATTCACATTACTGTACTAGACACTTAGCGGTATGTTTTATCCCACGCAGCAGGAAGACAGAGATCACTGCGTTTCCTGAGTTCTGCTTACCTTCAGCTCCTGTTTGAGCAGCTCTCTCGCTGCCTGCCAGATCCACCAGATTCTGCAGGAGGAAAGCAAACTTTAGTATGGTAATTTCAGTAATGAGTTACTCAACCAATGTTTCATATACGTGGTCTACCTGAGCACTTCTCTGGGTCCTGGCTCACACTGGCACCCCCTTCCTCTCACCTCCACACCTGTCCCCGCCTTTAGGACACGCTGGATAACGCTACCACTGCAGGCTCCCCCCAGAGTGCAGGACTTCGCCGAGGCACACACAATTCTTTACAACCTGGTACTGAGGGCAGTGGATTTGCCCATTTCCTTGGTTCCATGTCCTAGTCCACCCTTGCTCCACTCACGGCCAGGGCAAAGGTCACCTTCCCAGCATGGCTGTGCCAATGTCTCGCCTCCTCACACAGCATGACTGAATCCCACGGATCACCCAGAGCTCTTCACAGACGTGACTGATTCTCAGAGCACTGACTCTGTAGGGCTGGTCGTGTGTAACACACTACACTGTGGCATTTTAAAAGCATGCGTCTCTCATTTCAAAAATAATACTGGAAATAAGCGACTGTCTGTCACACTGCACACAGTGCGGCAGGTTCTGAGGTAACAGCACAGGATCAGAAAATGAGGTCCCTGCTCTCCAGCTCCTATTCACCTTACATAGCTGAGGAGGCTCGGGGAAGGCAGAAGGGACCAAAGACCTCTTGTGACAGCTGTAATATAGAACATCAGGACAGAGCTGGGAGGGACAGAACAGTTTTTCAACTGAGTGACAAGGATGGCTCATCAAAACTAAGGTTTGAAAGACAGTGACGAGGGAGCCAGGTATGAAAGATCAAGGTGAACTATACAGAGAAAGAACAGCCCGTGCACCAGGTCTCAAAGCAGAACACCATGACAGAGGGCAGAGTGACACAGCCCGTGAGTGGAAGCTGGGACAAGCCAGGCTGATGGAGAACTACAGATTTGCCCAAACTCAATGGGAATCCCAGGCCCAAGGGCCTCGCACAGGGGCCCTCACATCAACGTCCATGGCTCAGCTGTGCCCTGGCATGGGGAGCAGACGGCCAGACAGGAGGCTGGCTCTAAAGTACTGATTGGGATTTAGCTCAAAAGTATGAGCGCTTGCCTGGCAAGTTCCAGGTCCTGAGTTCAATCCCCAGTACCAAAAAAAAAAAAGAAAACAAAGTCCTGCCTACACACTGGGTGCATCTCAAGGTCACAGTGACTACAGAGCACACGGGGAAAACTAAACATCTATAACATAAGTACTTTCTTCCTCTTCCTAAGGAAAAACTTAATGTGATTTATGTCTCAGCCATCCTATCCAATAGTTTGTTGAACACACAAGGCTGAGTTATACAAGCTGACTAAAAAAATCTTTCCATTTTAAGATTACTTATCCTGCTCCTCGGGGATTAGAAAAGCCTGAAGTCCCACACTCTTTATGTCTACAATTTAGATGGCACTTGTGACATTACAGAAGATTCCCAGTTCTACATTTTAGCTGGTAATCTGATGCTACTGATGAGACCAGTGATTTGCTAACTTAGAGATTTCTCTTTCCTATTTAGTTAACAGCTCTAATTAAAGCAAACATACAACAGTTAAGGTAAAGTTTGTTTTGGCCCCGAAGGTGCAACATTATGCTTTAGGAATACTCACCAAATGGGATAGCTTGATAGAGCCGTCACAGTTAGAAGGTTCACTTTTTCCCTGCTCTCCAGAATCTACACAGAAAGGGCCATTCGTATAAACACCAGCGTATGCTTACTTGGAAAGACCAGAGGAACAAATAGAGTAAGAACTTACCATCCTAAAAATGGTATGTGAACGACTGCTTCTTTGATTCATTTTTGTTGTTCCATAATGTCTGTTCTCTGGAACAGTTATAGTTTAACTATATATATGGCACGCCAACAAAAACATTAATCTTTACTTAGACTAATAACAGATGTGAGTCATGTCTATTTTATCTGAATTCAACAACAAAAAGCATCGTTCACTGAAGAAAGCTGTCATACATGTATTAAAGACAAATGCAAGAGTCTTACTTTCTCCCTTTCTGATCCATTGCAAAGTCATTTCAGAAGTGTAAACCACTTCTTCTGTAAGATCAGCAACGTACACATTACTCTGAAACCAGCTGAATTATGCAAAGATAAGAGAAAGAGTCCACAAATACACCTTTCAAAAAGAAGGTACAAACTCTTCCAGAATTTATTTGTGAAAATTAAAACGTGGAATTACTATTCTGTAGGAAAATCGACAAGCAAATGGACAAATGCCTACAGTCTATTGCCTGCATCAAAGCACACCAAATTCCAACCTGATCTCGCCATCTTGCTGTGTTTATGCACTTCAATCAAAACATTAGTTGCATTTTAAAACTATACACATTAATACAGAGCTCCATACACACTGAAATTAGGCAGAATCATCCCAAAAAGTCTGTTTTCAAGCCGCCTTAACTCCCATCCCTCACATTCATGTCTTCTCGAATTAACAAAGGTTTCATTTTTTGAGCACTGCAGAGTAAATAAATCTGCAATGGTATTGTTGTATATCTCCATGTAAGAACACGCAAGAGAAACTCTCTGTCTGCAAACTGCAAGAGAAATATGTGTACAAACATAAAAAAAAGCATTCAGTTAACAAAATCTAATACTGAATGCATATCCATTAAGAAATGACCTTGATAAAACAAACCAACCCATGGTTCTAAGTTGACAGTCATAAACAAAAATATAAAAGTATCATTTCAGATTGCAAAGTATGCTACCATGAAATCAGAGAGAACACAATTTAACTCTAGACTCAAAATAAAACCCTCCTAAGAGATGTTCTCATGCAATGAAAATGCTCACTGAAAACCAACTCCTAACTAAATAGGCTGCATATTCCAGCCTGCTGTTTCCTTTTTTCCTTCGCCTACATCTACATTTTAATTTTCTGGGATAATCACTGGAGCGAACCACCAGCAGCAGCATGGAGCTAGCCGTGGGGGGAAGATTCGCTAGTACTCAGTACCCACTTGTTGAATGTGTTATTGGTGCAGGATTCAAGAGAACAAATGAGTGAACTTAAACCTCCATAAAGTTTATCCATGAGCATCAAACTGAATCTATGCTACACTTTTCTTCATGGGTACTCACAAAGGAGTGCAAATCTGTTCAGCAGTGTAAGAGAAAAACATTAAGCTTTCTAGCTGAGCAGGGCATGGTGGCACAGGCCTGGCATCCTAGTGCTCAGCAGGCTGAGGCAGGAGGATCACCTTGAGTTTGAGGCCAGCCTAGGCTACATACCGAGTTCAAGGCCAGCAAGACCTGCCTCAAAGAACAAAAACCAATGACAACAAATTTCTAGCTGATCATGACTATTCTTTCCTGTATGCACTAAGATGTGAGCTAAGGTATTACCTTCTTAATTTTTTGGAAGATGTCATGAATTGCTCTGGGTATAACTCCCGAACAATCTTCTGAGTGCATCATAGTATGGGTTTTTCTAGAAGTGGTCTGCCTGTAGGCAAATATAGTTCCTGCAAAGACAAAAACACACATATGCAAAGATTTAAACTAAAGCTAAGTGTCTGAGACTCATGATACTTGTTGAATGGACACTGAAAACAAAACACTTTTGCAGCATTAAAATGAACACCAACCATTATACCCTTGTATGGCAGAATCGATGATCGGCACTGCTATTTCTTCATATACATTTGTAATAATTCATTGCTATGAAAGACATGACCTTAAAAAATGCAAAATTAAATCAGCTGTGTTTTCATTCTGAATTAATAACTATCCAAAGAAATAAAAGTGTCAGGATCTAAGCCCATAAAAACTGAAGACAATTTATGCTGTAGTTTTGGCTTTTGAAATGCCCTTCCCAAATGTAAGGAGTACTGGCTGTTGGGGACACCACGGCCCTGAGCTGCCCTGCAGCAGGTAGGGTACCATGGCCTCCCTCTTCCTCTTGTAGGCTGTTTAACTCTGCCTCCTTTCTCCTCTTTAAAATGGGCAGGTAACAGAATCCATGCAGACACTGGTCTGGAATGCTGAGGGAGTGAATTAATATCCATGAAGTGCTTAGAGCAGGGTCTGGTACGCGGTCAGCGCTTTGCACACCTCAGTCAATAATGGCATCAACTCAGTCACCTTGAAGCTCAGGTCCTCCCTCTGAGTAGCACTTAGAGGACACTGGCACTAAGCTACCTCCTTCACTGCGCCCCTGTAAAGCATGCCCCATCACCCTGCCTCCCCTCCACCACACCTTGAGGGCCACAGAACCTGACTTGGTCCCTAATCAACTTAGGGACATAGAGGCATAGACATAGAGGAAACATCTGTACCACTTATTACTTAAGATGTTTGACTTACAATTACTGTGAAATTTATACAGGTCTTAAAGATGGCCTGACACTGAAACATGTTGGATTTACAATTTAAGACTACAAAGGGTCTAGTGGAGAAAATGGTACTTTCATACAGTAATGTGGTTATAACCATATTTTAAAGAATGGTTTTTTACCTTACTTCTCATACATGGGGAAACAGCTTTTTCCCTATGAAGAAGTTAACACATCTTTAATGACAAGTGGAGTATTATTGATGCTTTTTGTTTTTTTGCCTCAGTCTCCCAAGTGCTAGGCTCGTAGGCATATACCACTGTTGTAGTCAGGGGTTGCGCAGAGAACAATTAGAATCAGGACATGGAGTTTATAATATTGTTTTATGATGGTCACCTAGAGTTAACACAAGAAACTTCAGGAAATATATCCACAACACTAATGACATAGAATATTTAGTCAAGTGCCTAAGTCCCACAGCAATGTCCCACATGAGTCCAGATGAAAATCGAGAACTCATGACAATGCCTCCCATGAGTCCAACTGGATGTCTAGAACCCATAAGAAGGACTCACGCCAGTCTCTTTTACAGATTCGTGCTGGGAAGGCCCAAAGGTCAGCGGTGGAAGATAGGAAGTCTATGTCAGCGGGGTAAAGGAGCTGTACTGATACATTGAGGGTTCTATGCTGGAGCCAAGAAGTCACACTCACAACAAAGACCAGGGTTGTCCTGAAAAGCACCACAGCCATCCTCAGCAACACGGAGGCCCAAGCTCTGACGATGACAAGCACAGCATGACGAGTTCATCCTGGAGACCAGTCAGCATATGTCTTCCTCTCCAGAGCCAGGAAGCAATGCTCGATATAAGGACCAACACTTCTCCAGGAGAACCAACGGCTCAAATAGCAACTTGCCTCAATACCTCAACGCAATAATTTCTCCTTCTCCACCTCTATTTATGCTGGCAACTTTCCTCAGGTGAAACTTACACGCTCAGCACCATGCTGATGTAATCCAGCTGGTGTTAAGTTGACCACCAGTTCTTAATCCATAACAATCCACCCCTGGTCAATTTGATAATCACACACATTTCCTTAACCTATGGTCCTTAGTAGCAGATTTGTATAAGTTAATATATCTTGTTCTATTCAGATCTACATTAGTACAACAATTACATATATACAATTCTCTTTACACTTAATTCCTGCACCAAAAGCAAAACATTTAAAGGATGACCAAGGTTCAACACTAAAACACAGTACTTTGATAAATTAACCTGGTTACAAACATTAAAATCACACTAACATATAAGATCTCCGGCAATTCAAATGTACTTTTGATTTTTCCATTGTCCTGTTCTAAACAACCATGTTCTCTGTTGCAACCCACAGTTCCAATGGAGCCTTCTTCTTGGCCAAGTGTTTTAAATTACTCTACTGGCTCTTTGCTCTAAATGTCAAACATAAGTCTGGTCAAAAGTAACCATGCTACCATCCCAACAGTAGACAGACTGCACTAAATTTTTCCAGCCACCAGGTAATATCTCTAAATACAAACAAAATGAAGACCAACTTTAGGCTAAAGCATACTATACTACCTGGACTCCAGCAGCCACTGCAGTCTTTCCCAAAGGAGGCCTCCCAAGCTTCATCTTAACTGGCAGCATTTCCATCAGGACTCTGATTTTCCAGGTTCTGACCAGAGTCTCCCATATAGTTTACAGCATACAAGGCTGTCTCTTTGGCCAGTCTCTCAAAAACTGTCCAAATTAATTTCCAAAGCTCATAAGAGTAATGATCCCACTCTCGGTACCAATTTCCCAGAGATTCTCCAGAAGAACCAACGGCTCAAACAGCAACTCATAGGAGAACCCACAACGCCTCAACCTCTCAACACAGTAATTTTTCCTTCTCCCCCTCTCTACTTATGATGGCAACTTTCCTCAGGTTGAAAATCTATGCTATGTAATCCAGCTGGCGTTAAGCTGACCATCAGTTCTTAATCTGTAACAACCACTATGCCTGGCATATTGATAGGCCCTTTGTACTGGTAATAGTAAAAGAGATAGATCGCAAAAAGCGATCTTTGGATGCCAATAAGCTTACCAAAATTGAAGGATTTACTCCCACCAACTTGATAAATAACATTATTGTCGGTTTTCCAGTAAACCAGGGCATCTTCTCCAAGTTCTTCTCTATGGAATAAAAACACTGCATGTAAGTACAATATACATGACAACAGAATTGTTATAGGAAAGTTAATCTAAAAATGCACATTTTGAAAGATGGTAATGACTTACATAAGAGACCTCTGGAAAGCCTGTCTTTGGAAGGGACAGTGTTCTGTTCTTGTAGGAGGGGTTCACACCCCTGCCTTCTGCTGGCAGGTTCATAGGGAAGCCTGTCAGCCCCACCCTCGGGCCCTTGAAGGGTCAGACTAAACATGCACTGTGATTATGTCCTTCTTGCTTCCAAGCCTTTGCGGCCTGAAGTGCTTAGCATGGTTTATGATACCTGGTCCTGTCACTTCTCTAACCCTCTCTTCCTCTAAATTCCTATATACACCCTAAGCATCCACAAATCGACTGACCAAAGGTTTCCCTGAAGTGAAAGATGTCACCTCTCTGTATCCTGGACACTTTTCCACTTATTCTTCCATTCCTGCAAGGCTCAGGACTCTTCAGCCTCAGCCTGCCCCACAGGGACTGTCACCCTGCCGCCCGACGCGGCCCACAGGTCCTGCATCCCTGCCCCGCCCCCTGCCGGTGACTGCAGGGGACCCGCAGTGTCCAGGGCCTGGTTGATGAAACACCAGGTGGTGCTGACAACTTCTCACTAGCGGCCAGCAAGGCGCAGACTCTCTGCCGCCACCGTGCTTCTCCTGGGCAGCGATCGCCGCCACCCGCAGTCCGACTCTGACTTTATTCCCGGCTCCTTCCCGCGGGAAGGGCTGGGGAGCGTCGGCCGCGTGTGGCTCGGTCCCTGTCACCTGCTCGGGCCGGCGGCAGTCCGCAAGGATGCTGGAGGGCTCGGGCCTGCTGGGCTCCTCGGCGCGCCTGCCCCGACCTCCGGCCGCCCCAGGCTCGCTGCCCTCAGGCCGGGGCCTCCGCCACGCCGCGCACCCACCTGCAATTCAGCGGCCGCACCCTCACGCACACGGCCACCATGACTCCTCCAGGTAGGCCGCCGCCACCAGCTCTGAGCGGCCGCCGCATCCCGCCTCGGGTTTAAATTGTCCCGGAGGCCCGCGCCTCATTGGGCCGCGCCCTGCGTGACGTCATGGGCCGTTCCACCAGCGTCGCCGAGCTGGGAGGAGACAGGCGCGTCCACCGCCCTGGAGGAAGGGGTGACGAATTTGAAGAGTTGTGATTTGGATCTGCAGGTGTCCAGGTGAGAAGTGCAAAGCTGGCAGCTGCTGGCTCAAGGGCAGAGGGGTCACATTAGCCCTTCACACTGTGCTTATGAAGGTTGCCATAATTTCTTTCTTTCTTTTTCTTTCTTTGTTTTATGTTGGAGACCACTACAAAGTGGCTCTGAGCAGGATTTAAATTTTACTAATTGGCTTTCTGTGTTTATCTGTGGGTCTGTCCTAGGCCTAGGCCCCTTGCCTGGCGCCTGAAGTTGATTCATAGTAAGTGAACCTCTAGGAATCACTGGTCCTGGCTGAGGCATGTAGCGGTCTGTGAGGCCAGAGATACCTCAAAGGACAAGATAAAGCCACAGGTATAAACACTCTGGCTCCAACCCCAATTAACTAGGTAAAAACTACAAAAATTACTACAAGCTACTAAAAGCTACAAAAATTACTCCTACAGTCTCACTTCTACCATGTCTTCAAGATAAAGCAGTGCTAGTAAATTGACTTGATTCGTGATTTCGAGACGTCCTTAAAGTGACTCCCAAGGTCCTGCTCATTGCCTGCACTTTCCTTAGTCTCTTTGCCCTTTGTCCTTAGTCCTAATATAAGTAGACTAATCCAGAGAATTTTTTGTCTTAACCATTGAAGTTTCAAGCTTATTTAAAGGGTTTTGACCCTCCTAGAGCCCTAATCACACAATATGTCTCTTTTTATTTAACCTCTGCCCTACACTCGTTTGGGAGATCAGAGATCTAGGTTAAAACCTGATAGTTTCATTCTTGGGATTCAACTCAAGACTTTCACACCGAGCTGCAACCTCAGCCCTTTGAAGTTTTTATTTTTTGAGACAGTGTCTTGCTTAGTTACTAAGTCCCCAGGCTGGGCTTCAACATTTTTTTTAAAATTTTATTTAAGAGGAAAAAGAGAAAAACACAAAACAAAACAAAGCAGTGTAAGGGTACACATAATACAGAACTACAAAAAAAAAAAAACATAACAGTAAGAAATCACCTGTTAATAGATTACATATTATCATCTTGGAAATAGTTGCTCAAATCACAGTATCAAAGAATACAAAGTGGACATTCAAACAGAGAGACTGCAAACAGCTGTGTTCAATGATCCAAAAACATTAATATAGTCAGCTGTTTAACACCCCTAAACACACTTGCTGTTATATCCGTTAGAGCTCTTTTTTTTTCCCCCTCTCTTTTTTACAACAAAATTTACACATTTTGGCTTTTATTACTCCTTAGTTCTTATTACTTTTTGGGGGGGGGAGAGAATAAAGTCAAATATGGCAAAACAAAGCTGTCAGTCAAAACCAAGGATAGACATGGCACATGATGTAAAACAGAGTACAAGGTTATCAACAATGGTTATCAATGTTGTCTCTTGTTTCCTTAAAAAGAATTGTCTATCTCATTAGATATTATAAAGTTGGACAAAACAGTAGAGAACAAGACCAATAAAACTTAGGCATTGTAAACATTACAGGACTTCCAAAGGAGACAATAATCAAACCAGAATGGGCATCTTAGTGAATCTTATTGCCTTCAAAGTAGTTGCCTATACCCTCAAACTTGATACTATCTATCGCACAGAATGGAACAGAGTCTAATCAGTCAAAACAAGATCGTGGGAGTATTACAGGACTTCAAAACAAGTTAATGGGAAATCAAAAAGAGTTACTATTATATATCCTAATTTTTAAAATTTTTCCCCTTAATTAAAACAAACATAAGAAATAACTAAATAATTTTTTTAAAGAATAAGGGAGAGATTGAGTTAAAACAGGACATAACAATATAACAATACAGGTCAAAGCATGACTGTTTCAGCAACCTAGTGCTTCACCACCAAATAACCCGACTTAATAGTAATTACCATAGTGTCTGTCTTTTTCCTTGAAATATTTGGATAAAACTTCATGTACTATAGCTTCAAATATTTCCATATCAAGAAGCCCAGAATAAAGCCTTTCTAATTAATAAGTGAAAATTTTATAAGGCTTCAAGGCCACATAATGGGGAATCATGATTACCACATATTTTTATATATTTGAATCATTACTTACATTAGGGAAACTATTCGGTATTCACACATGCGAGATTGATTTATTTCACTTATGAGTATGGTCTCAAGCTACGCCCATTTATTGATAAATATCTCAATGTGATCCTTCTTTATAGCTGAATAATACTCCATTGTATAGAAATACCACAACTTTTTTTATCCATTCCTCAGTTGATGGACACTTGGGTTGTTTCCAAGATCTGGCGATTACAAATTGTGCTGCTATAAACATAGGTGCGCATATATCACTGTGGTATGATGCTTTCAGTTCTTCTGGGAATATGCCTAGAAGTGGAATAGCTGGAATAAATGGGATTTCCAGTCCCAACTTTTTGAGAAATCTCCCGACAGACCTCCACAAAGGCTGTACCAGTCTATACTCCCACCAACAGTGCAGGAGAGTTCCTTTTTCCCCACAGCCTCTCCAGCATTTGTTGTTGGTTTTCTTGATCCTGGCCATTCTTTCAGGAGTGAGATGGTATCTCAGTGTGGTTTTAATTTGCATTTCTCTAATGACCAATGATGATGAGCATTTTTTCCTGTATTTATTTGCCATTTGTATTTCTTCATCTGAGAATTGTGTATTCATCTCAGATTGGGCTTCAACATTTGATCCTTCTGCCTCTTCCTCCAGAAGGCTGCGATTGCAGGTGTGTTCCACCATGCGTGGCTTATGATGGTCTTTCATGTCATCAGTGTAGTAGGTATATGTATTATATATTTATTAAAGAGTTAGGGCATGACAAATTCTATTGCGTACTCTATTTTCACTTAACATTTAATTTACCAATTTGTTCATCAAGAAATATTCATTGAGAAACATGTACCAATAAAATAAAAAATACAGTTTAAAAAGAAATATTCATTGAGTAACTATTCAGTGACTATGGCTCTAGGTCAGGATACACAGAATGCATAAAACAGAGAAGGCACCTGCTGTCAGCATTGTGATTCTTTTAAGATAGACGGTGAACAGCACACAGATATCTTTGATCATTGGTTTCTGTTTCTCTTTATCTCTATCTCAGACTCTGTCTCTCTCTTTAAACAGACACACACACACACACACACACACACACACACACACGCACCCCATATACAGACAAGTACTGAGAAAAAAAAAGCTACATCAAGAGGGAGGAGAGTGTGATGCAGGAGGTAGATATGGTGGGCTCAGGGTGCTGGTTTCTTACGAAGGGCCTTCTTCTGGGAGGTGGCAGACATGACAGAATAAACATGTAAGTAAAATGACCAATGATGACGGGAGGACATTTTCTGTGGAATGCTGGAGAATGGCCTGGGGAGGTTGCTTGTTTGGGGTGAGATCTACAGCTCAGAGGTAGCCAGGTGGGAGGTAAAGTGCAGAGCTGAGCACACAGTGGGACAGGTGAGGCACAGAACCCCAGGCTCGTGCAGTGGTCCTGCTCCTGAGGCAGTGGGCCGGGTCCTGGAGGCTGTCCTGAGGCATCTCCATCCTAGGGAAGGGGAGGCCTGAGAAGGATTCCCAGGATACGAAACAAGGGAATCAGAAGGGGTCCATGAATTCCTTCAGATAAGTCCTTTCTGCTATCTGACTGTAAAGTCAACAGCTACTGGAGAGGACCGTGTGTGAATTCCTGTCCCCCTGACCACCCTCCTGCTTGCCCTGTGCCTGCAGGCTGCCTGCAGGCTGTAACTCTTCCTGGAGGCCCGTCTGCCTCCTGTGTCCCTCATCATTGTTATCCGCCAGGCTCAGCAGCCAGCAGACGCCTCACTTTCCTCACCCACGGTGATGTCAGGGGTACTGCAACCTGAAGGCCCTTAGCGCCGAAGTCCCGCTCCCCACCTGTGCAGTCCATGGCTTGCAGCCTTGGGTGAGGCTTCTATCTCATACCTAGGCTACAGGCTCAGTGGCATCTCCCTAGCTCCCACTCTCTCCAAGTCAGTGGTCAGTGTCTCTAAATCACTCTGGGGCCGCCTCGAGACTCCTTGGAACACGGCTGTCACCTCACCTGCTGCTGCCGACCTGCTCCCAAACTCGGTTATTTCTTGTGGAACGCATCCGTGTCCCTCTCACCACCTGCTGGGCTGTGGGTCCTCAGCACAGCAAGGGAGTGGTCAGGTCAGGCCGGTCACCTCTGTCCAGATGCTGCTGTCACCCTGTCACTGCCTCCACCCTGATTTTTGTCAGGATAAAACGCGTAGTATCTCACTTTTCTCTCAAGACGTATCCCTTTCCTTTCCCCCTTCTTTCCTTTCCTTTCCTTTTCTCTGGGAATTGAGATCAGGGCTTCTTAGTGCTTCCCAGCAGCTTCCCCACTGAGCCTCGCCCTCAGCCTGCCTTGGCTTCTTGTCCCTGTGACTGACTCCCCATTTCTGTCTACCCAGGCACACTGGCCCCCCTGTGCAGCTTCCTGAGTCGCAGGCTGGCCCCTTCTCCCTGCTGCGCCTGCCAGGGAGTGGGCTTCACCCAGCACCTCCATCCCCGGGATCCCGGGCTCTGCACAGATGGCCTTGCTCAGCTCACGCTGCCCATTACAGCAGCATCCTGTCTGTTCCTTGCCTTTCTTTACTTCTCTTCTTTACAGACATCCATTTGGAGAGGGCGGACTGAGTTGGAACAAAGATTATTATTGACAGTCCAACTGTATGAATATTAGTTTCTCATCTAAGTAGAGTCCAGTTTATTAAGTAGAGCCAATGGGTAAGTTTCAGCTTTCCAGTCGTGACCTTGTATGCACTGCTTCCTTGTCGTGGGCACACTGACGCTGACGGGCTGTGTGGAATAAGGTAACAGAAGGTAGGC